AGCAGCTAATACTTTAACGACGCAAGTGGCACAGAAGCACTTTTGCAGACACAAGCCGCAGGAAAATGAAATTTCTGAAGGCTAGCTGGCTTCGGTGCCTACCAGCTTCACGCGTACGATTGACAGAGCCAGGCTCAAGGGGCGCCTCGTTCTAAGTATGCACAGTTCTGCAGGAAATCATCAAACATCCGTCTACAAACTTCAGCATCCTCCCCTCCAAACTGTAGCACCCCCTATTCTGTGTTTTTCTAATGCATTGAGACTGGTTATACCAAGCAAAGATGCATAAGAGCTGGCTGCAGTCGAATTGAAGGGTCTTGAACCAAAAAAGAGCTAGAAGCCCTACAGCAATGCCAATAACATGAATTGTGTGACCAGGGCATAGTCGAATCGAATGAGTTCTAATACGAGGCGTGACGTGGGAGAACAGCCAGAACTTGGGGAATGAACAATACCTTATTGAAACCTTTAGACGCGCGTACATACACAATCAGCTCCTGCTAAGCTGGAAGTTAGTTTGAAATTTTATGATGTAATCGGTATGTTCTGTGAGGAGTAGAGGGAGGACACGTGGGTCCATATCCCTCAACAATCAAGCAATCAAGCAAGGCCATTAACCCCTTCCTCCCTTACCTGGTGTACAACCCGTAAGGATGTCGCGAAGCTTCGTGTGGTTGCATCTCGTTGTCCAAATCTCAGAAGTAACGTTGCTTGGATCGTTGCCCCTTTGACTGACCTACCAAAAGTAAATAGTCTATGATGTGGATACAGAAGGCTGATGCAGCACCAGTGACGCCCATTGGCCACCTCGCAGCTCCTTCGGTATTTGCGCTTCCTAATTATGAGCACCATTTCTTACAAAGTGCCCACCCTTTTGACGCAGCTGTTGGCGCTACTATCCCGTAGCGGGCTACGAGTTCTCCAAAATACCATTTAATTGCGAATTTATTTCGTCTCCTCGCCAGAACCTAGTGGCAGTGCCCAGTGCTGGATATATAAGTTTTGTGCAGCGTATATTGGCGTTAAAAAGTGTGCACTATTTATATAGGCACTAGTGTACTATCCAGATCAAGCACAAGCCTTTGGAAAAACTTAGTGGAGGCTTTTTAAGTGTCTTTTTTACATGCTATACTGTACATTGGCTTGCGCATAGCTTTACAGTAGAGTAAAGGCACCATCGCCGCTAGAACGCTTTACAATAGGTCTTTGAAAGAAGTTGCTTGACTCCAGAGTGATTAAAAACCGTCAAGAGAATTTGTCAATGTCACTCAAAAAGAACCATCCCATCTATCTGACCTCACACCTAAACGGTCTGACAAGAGAAAAACTGGCAACTAAAGTGCGTGTTGGTGCACTAGCTAAGCACCACAAACCAAATTCCTCACAGCTAGTGAGGCACACGCTCACCATGTTACTTCTTATTGTGCTAAAAAAAACTCATTTGCAATGGAGATGATCTAGTAATAGCCCAAACAGTTATTAGATTCTCTGCTTATTCTAAATGGTATGTAGCTACGGTAGTCGAGAAATCCCTAGTGTAGCTTACGGGGCTACAAACCTGCTGGCCGAAGGGCTTTCACGAATCCCCAAGGCACCACCATCTTACAATACAATCACTAATTGTTGATGTAGTAATCATTCATTGATTGCATCAAATTCGCTGGCGGATCGTGCTTTCAAAATTCATGCATCCCTGTTATTGCCAAACTGAACAACAGCAGGTTTCAAAACAAAGGAAATACCCGCTTTTGTAGATCCCATCTGCTTTCAGCAGCATGGTTTTGCATGAAGCGCTTGCTAAAGTCATTTTTTTATAGTTACACTACAATGGAAAGCCGTATACGTCGGTCCTTCTGGTGGTATGAGGCATGTCCCGCGGCAGAGGCGTGTGCCTGGTCATGCCAGAAATTAAGCAGCTAAAGGCACATAATTATGCTTATCCCCTCCTATTTTTTAGTCTCTTAGTTCCTGAAGCGAATTTGCCTATAGAGTATATATTTGAACTGTCGGCGCTCAAGGGTCACTCTAGCATTTAGTGGTTGTCAACAAACAAGCATTCATGCCCACTTTATCCCTTTCCCCAGCTTTGCCACGGTTCAAGAGGACACCTTATTATTCTTAAACAACATGCAAAAAGCCTACAGATTTCCGGGAGTATTATTGCATATATGGAGCTGAAGTTTGTTGGTATGTTTTGGCATGCCTTTAGTACCTGGCTACACATTGCTGGTAAGAAGACCACTGCTAAGCAGACCGAAGCATATGGATACACAAATCTCGCCTAACGCGTCCTCTGAAGTATTTTTGGCTTTATGCTTACATACATACGCCTTCTTGGAGTGATTTTTTTCCGTGTGCTCAGTGGCCTTGCAGCGTAAGAGGCTGTTTGTCTGCTCGGTGTTCACTTGCAGCTTCAGGATTGCTTCTCAAACCCAGGTCTGGAACTGGACAGCCAAGGTCAGCAGCGCTCCCGAGCGGCGAAACAATTCAAAATCAGCTGACTAATGCGGGTTATTGTGTACACAAGGAATATATTAGCACTGATTTATGATTAGCATCGACCGGTTGTGCAAATTCAGAATTGAAGATTTGATTCTAGTGGCTCGGCAGTCTCTATGACGCACACCAGAAGGAGACAATAAAAGCGAAAATGATTCCATGAGGCCTAACCAGTTTGCGATTTTGTCAAGGACTTCACCTCTTTCTTTCTCTGTCGATGCTTCTCAAAAGTTGGAGGTGCCACAGAGCTAGCAATACTAGCTTCCAAAAGAAGGTACAAAGCTTCACGGATTAGAGGGAGGCTTTGTTTAGGCAAGTAACAAGCACAAAATAAAAACTCTATGAACAAAGATTTAGAGATGATTACTTTTAGGGCTAGTGGCTGGCGGGGCAAACCTAGTAGGGAGGTTCTAGTGACGTGGAGTGGAAAATGCCTACCTCAGTGAATGACAAAACACTAGTTGTGAGCTCCGTTCGCCTGCGATGTAATTCACAGCACTGGTCGGGTATGAATGATAGTCTTTACGTGCGGTATTCCTCGGGTTCCGTGCCATTCGCCTTACACCAGTGCATGATCAGCCTTAAGTACAGACCTTCGCCTATAGGTATTGCTTGAAATGTTTACGTTCATTGTTGTAAGGGCTCTCTCTACATTCAGATCTTTGCACAGGAACTTCCAGGTATCTTGTGTCTACACTCCGCCCTATGCCTCTTGTGGCGCTTACAAATTGACTATGGTGTGCAGCGGCTGTGCTCGAGTGCAAAGATTGTCCTGTGAGTCATGGAAACACTGATAGGCTGGTGTGTTATTCGATACTTTTTACTGTATTGACGTGTCGTCTCTTACCTTTCAGCTGAAGCATTATACACTGCACCGCTCTCAGGACAGCGAGTCATTGAATCGCTGCATTCATGCTGATTTGGTCCCTCGTCCGTTGTGGGTAAGGTTTGTGGGTCGCTTCCCGTGCTAACATTTACTTTTATTATTAGCATTTTTTAAAACGCTGATGCTTACTTGGGGAGTGACGGCAGGGAGGAAAATCTTCCGTTGTCCTGCGTGCAGTTGGTCTCCACGTACGGGTACGGATTCCGAGGAAGTGCTTTACCGAATTGAGGAGGGAGCAGAGAGGAGGTCTGACAATCCAAGCTACATGTAAACCCCTTTCCACAGTCTTAGTTTTCCGAATCAGTAAACACTTAATAAAGGATGTCTGCTTGTGTAACTTATTTATTGTACTGTTAGGAAAACACTGGAAGAGAGATGTGGACGTCTCCTTTAGGTGCTGCGTGCACTGAAGCTGTGAATGTTCGGAGTGCTATTAGGGTGCAGCAATGTCCACAATAGCTGTCCCTCTCCCCACATGTCAGCGGTATGCTGAAGGGACTAGGCAGGAGAGGGCGGGAGGTTTTGTGCAGAAACACTCAACAACTGTCTGTAAACTTATCCTGAGTACGAAGTTAAGTCTCATCCTGCGGAGAAAGATAGAGCATTACAATACACGGAAAGCCAACAATTTACGTTTTTTGGAATCTTGATTGGCGTAATTAGTGTAGTGGATAGTGCCTCTGTGGAGCCTAGCCCGCAACAGCTTCGAAGGTCTTTGTCTTGTGTGCGTGTTATGCATTTAGCAGGTAGCGACACGTATAATTTATCGCGCCTTAGTTTTTCTTTGAACACTATCCTGCGATGCGTTAGGTATACAAGCTTGCATGTGAAATATTTACTTTGTTTCGATTCTTAATTTTAGATAACTAGTGCAGCAGAAAAAGCTTCAGTGTAGGATAGCCTGCTGGAGGGGTGGTCGGGGTGGCCAATAAAGCACCACAGGCAAGGGTTGTCTTCCTTTGCTACCACGCAGGCATTTGATATTGAGCCTATTGAAGTGCTCCTCTAGTGGAGATACATGGGTTTGTAAGATGGGGGAGCATCGAATATGTGTGTGTGACTGTTCAATGCCATATTCATATTATAAACTAAAGCTTTTTGCAGTGAAAAAGATGTTTCCAGGAAAAAATAAGAGGCATACGCGTAGATGAATATAAACTGATGTGGACTGACAGGCGTAAGAGCTGAAACTTAAGGGTGGGTGCTGTTAGTGTTCGAGGGAAATGGGAGAACACCAGTTTGTTTGATGGAGCCTACGAAGATGGCGCCCCGGAGAAAGTATTCCATAGTTGTGCTTCATTTACTTTTCATTTTCTTGTGTTATTACCTGAATTTCTCTGTAGCTTATAATTTGGAGTCATTTAATTAAAATTAAGAGTTGGCGGTCTGTGGATGACATGCAGTGATACTGTGGCTACCACCTGGTCGGCGCTGCCGCGCATAAGTAAGCTTTTGCTTTTGTACCCTCGTTCACATCATTTTCACACTTTAGGAATTATGTATTTTCCCTCATTCCCTTCCACTAAGTCCTAGGGGGCCCCTTTCACTAGGGGCCCCCACAGGAGATCCGTCGCATACCCCGATTGGACAAGGGCACTAAACTAACAGCAGCAACATGGATCGCATCACTAGCACTGCTGTAAAAGAAAGGTGCCGTTGGGCTTCCTCTATTTTCCATGTGCGATCGAAACACGGGGATCTTTGGCCAGCTGAGGGAGGCATAGATGCTAAGACACTGGAGCCTCCAAGAAAGGGCCCCCGTTACAATTTATTCCAGCTAAAGACCCAGCAGCCCACAAGATTATCGCCATATACTGGACCAGCAGCAGTTAGCTCTGCTGCTGCTGCACTTCCGTCTGCTCTGCAGGCGAACGGAAGAGTTCGTTCGAGTTTGTTTTGCCTCCGGCCATGCAGCTCATGGCCACGCTCTGAAGCATGGGCTTCACTCGGGGGCCTCTGCCATCCCTTTCTTAATCCTGGTGCGCAGGAACAGCGGCGGTTTTTTGGAGTTGGAGGCAGCTACGGGTATGGGGCCTTCTTCAGGGGAGAGGCGGATGCTGCAGCACAGAGCAACGTGAGGCGCCAGAGACTGAAGGATGAGGAGACCCACTACACGGGTCCCATGACACTTAAAATGCCTGAGATGGTCGCAGCACTGGTTGCTGAGGGAGCCTTGCGCAGGCAAGTTTCCCACACGGCTTACTGGACCCTCCAGCGCCCGCAACGTTCGGTAACTACGAACGGCCGGACGCCCTTCGGCATCTTCTTACCTTGCTGGCATGTACTGTTCATGGCTTAGAGTGTGTATTAAGACGTTTTTATCTGAAGTAGGGCGTAGCATTCGTGGTGTAGGATTTCTGGTTTGTACGCAGCCCCTTGAAGCGACCTGGGGTTTATGTGTACCATCACCACGTTCCACAAAGCCCGCAGAAGTCCCTGGTGTATTTCTCTGCAACCACGCAGCAGGCTGGAGCTCCCGCTGCTGCTGCTGCAACTTCCATGCTACAACAGCGGGAAAGGGGCGTGGCAGCCCAGCTCATTCTTGACGGCAGGGGTGTCAAGGCCTATTTTGACCCAGAGTGGCCAGACCTGATGGTCAGGTAAATCGAAGACCTTAACCTCTTAATTTTTTCTGCGAATGCACAAAGTCCTAGAGTCCTTGCGCCTGCGAGGCACGTAGCATATCCCCTAGACGAGGGATGGTCGTCTGGGTGTACAGCCAGTTCCAAGGGTATGATTTGTATTCAGGCTTGGAGTTGGCGTGAAGCCGTTGGCTCTGCGGCGGTTGGCGGAACAGTATGCCACAAGAGCGCGAATTTTCATTGACAAGCGAGGTACGCAAGCCTTAAAGGCTAAATTCGAGGGAGCTTGGAGGCTGAAGAACCGCAGACTCTCTCTGACTCCGACCTCAATTTAAGCGGTGCACCCATATAACGTCATGAATTATCCCTATGGTTTCAAGAAACGGCTGCGGAGTAGGCGGGGTGTCAATTTGAGGGTCTTGTGTGCAGGTTTACTGCTGACTATTCACGGGTGGGACAAGCGAGCCGTGGGGACCCTCACAATGGAACTTTACCGCCATCTCAAAGCAAACCCATATACTGGAAAGGGGGCTCGCATAGCCTTCTATCCCGTCAACAGGAAGGTTTCAACCAAAAAGTGAATAGGGCCGCACTGAAGGTGCACGCAGACTCATCCAAGCATCTAGGGAAACAACTTGCTCCCTGCTTAAGCCATATGGAATCGTTTAGGCCAGGATATTGGGATTCCTGGGGCGTCCCTATGGGACCCCACAACTTAGCAGGCCAGCAGTTGTCGGCAGGCTTAGGTCTCATGAAAGGGGATCTTATTTTTAAAGCCTTGCAACTGCAACAGTACTTTGGGGCATATGCTGTTGATCAAGTCTTGAATGGTCCCTCTGGGGAACGTTGAGCTCAACAGCTTCTGCAGATGCAACAGCTGGCTAGAAACCCGAACTACTGCAGCAATTTCTTCGTCTGAACCCATAGGAGAGATGCGAATCAGTTGTTCCAGCACATAATTCAGACCGTTTGTGGCTGCTGATACTGTTGCCGCATCAGCTGCTAAGATTTGAATACTCTTTTTAATTAAAAGCTGCGCGCACAACGTGAATCCCTCTAGTCCCTGCAGGAGGCCCCTGAGGCCTTCTTCTGCTAGTAAGCGTCCTTCTTTCCCATTTTGGGGGTCCCACGCAGCGGCTGCACCGGAAAAAGAAGCACACGCCACTTACTTTCCATTAGGGCGGCCTTTAGCTATAATTCTTGTAGGGGGCTTATTGCAGAACCTATAAACTCACGAGCACCAACAGCACTCGCGGCCAATGGAATATTCCTGCCCAATAAAGATGGCACCTACCCACAAATATCGCGCACTCGGTAGCCTCTCTTGATATCTACACGCAATTTCGACCAAGCAGATAGTGCAATGCAGAAATCAGATGAGTCCAGATCTCATCGTTCACACAAAATTGTGCGCACAGATTATTGCAAAGGAAGCCATCATACCTTTAGGGTATCCAAGGATGTGCTTTTTGCTCCAGCAGTTTGCTCACTGATGGCCCCTGAGAGACAAAACGTCTAGGAGGCTGGCATGAAACTCGTTGCCCCTAGCACCATTCTTATTCGTTGATGCGCCCCCCTTTATTAACCCTGCTGCTCAGAGCTCTGCTCTCCTTACTCTTCAGGATGGCCCCCAGGTTACTGAGCCACTCTCCGTGGGTTCTGAATGAAAGATTCACGGGGTTCCAGCTCTACATCACAAATTCACTAGCACACGAAGTTCGAACGATTAGCAAAAAACCTGCCCGGTGCACCCTTCAAAGGCCTTTGCTTGTTAAAGGCTCACAAACCCTTTAGGCTCTTAGTTTTTGACGCCAGTAACAGCCCCCAGCCGGTTTACCTCCTCATTGCCACCCATCCACAGACGTAAGCTCCGTAAACAATCCGCAGAGGAATTAAGAAATGCAGCGGTAGCTGCTGCCTCTATTCCTTCCGCGTCATCACTTTGCTGAGAGTCCTTGAAGGGTCTCAGGACCTCGATACTTTGTAAATAACGGGACACGCAACAGGAAACCGCCTCTACGAGATGTTCCGTTGAATCCAAACGGGGGTTGCACCCGTGCATCGCTCCCGCGCAGGTCCTCAAAAGAAGTGCACCAGCCCCCACCAGCGCAGCTAGTGTAGTTCTGGTTTCTTTGTGCTGAATCGGATCTTCCTCTAGGGTCCCTACCAAGTGCTCCACCGAATCAGCCAGAATATGGACTCCTTGAAAGAGAGCAGAGGGAGGAACCAGAGAGGCCTGTGCCGAATCCACCACCTCAGCCGTTAGACTGACAATCAGTGAGTGAGCGCTCGCAATGCTCTTCTGTACCGAGACTTCTTGGTGCGGTTGCTGCCGCATCCAAGCAATCGTCCAGGCCAGAGTTTCTACAGCTGCAAGTACGCCCGCTACTGGTGTTTCTATCACCTCCAAGTGGCTACGAGAGCTCTCATCATCGTCTAGGTAATCAAATGGCCTGATTTCGGATGTTCCTGGGTCTTTCTGGGTTTGGCACGTCTCCAGCATTAAGGTCCATTCCTCAAACCTCTTCGCAAGGTGAGAACCTCCTGACAGGCATAGCTTAGCGTCCCCAGGACTCGGTTCTGCTGCTCCTCGCACCTCATGTGGCTGCAATAGGTGATCAAGAAGAACTGCCATTGCCCTCCTTCGCGGAAAGGCGTTTTCTAGAGCCTCCAGAAGCGAATGCAACTGTTCTACGGATAGTACGTTCGCAGAGGGACCCTCTGTGCGCCCAAGGGGAGGCGAGCAGCGGAGGTCACAAGCTGACATTTGAAGAGGAGCTGCGCGCAGGGAAATACCCAGAAGTCCTTCTTTGCTCGAGCGCTCAATTGCAGATGGGTGCCTCAACACTTCATTGTAGACCGGGAGCAGCCATGAAGGGGGTCCTCCACGGGCCGCTCGGTAGGCGCAGCTAACCAGAACCCAGAAGGCTTCTTGGGTGGTAAGGCGCTCTAAGTTGGAACCTCCGGTTGGGATCGAGGAGGGCTTGCACGAGGGATACGCCGCTACATCTTTCAACAGGAAATCCACGCACTGCCGTGCTATACTCAACGGCGCCTCAGAGGATCCAGAGCCCATGGATAAGCAGCAGAGTACAAGCTGTAGCAAGAAGCCCCGCGGCAGCGTCTGGTGCTACAACAACACACAAAGCAGCCACTCTTCAGCAGTGAGGCAAACCAAACATCCTGCTCTATTAAAACGGCCCACGCCCAGGAATTTTTGCAGTTGCCACAAGACTTACCTCAAGAGTTCCTAACTGGTTTACACCGATCTCCAGTAGCCGTCGGCAAGCAAATCCAAGGCCTCCACCAGTCTCCCGTGGCCCACAACCTGCCATCGACAAAGGCCTTGCAACTTCTGCAGAAGGCAGGCCAACCTTCTCCTGGAAGCCTTTTGATGGGCGCGCATGCCATCGAGAAGCCTCCGAGGCAATTTGACGCTGGAGGCCTAAAACGAGGGGCTGCAGCACTGTAAGCATCCCTAAGACGATGGCCTTCTGGTGAGCCGCCTTCTCTGTGTCTTCGATGGGGTTAGGACCCCTGGGTAGGGCCCACCCAGCTGTGCAGGTTTTGTCGACCGCATGCAGCGCCAAAACTTGTAGAATCCCTAGCCTATTCCTGAGGCAGCATATTAACCCACAGCAGCAGCCTGTGCAGGCTTTGGCACTGGATAGCGATGAAAAACATCTAAGCCCCATGCAAGCAATTATCAGCTGAACCCTGACAACTGGGGTGCCAGACGTGGAAGCCAAAAGTGCTTCCACCAGTCCACGATAGGCAGGCTGTCTCGCACGAAATATAAACCATCAAGCCGGATTCCTACTAAAATGGTGGCCTACGTGGGGACGGAGGCGGCTATTGTCCTCATAAAGATACCAAGCTCCTCGAGTGTCAAGTGCTGCGAACACACACGTGGCTCCCTCACGCGCTGAGCTATAAATTGCAGTACTCAAACAACTGATAAAGCACTGCACTACCCAAGGATGATACCCAAGAAGAATGCATAAACCTTCAGCCTTTCCTAGGAAAAAGCCTATCGCCCTTAGACCTTATCTGTGAAGCTAGCCGAAGTACACGTCCCAATCCCAAGGCACAGGAGTCAAAGTATCCAAGTACTGCAGCCCAAAGGAATATCACGGCGCGACTACGAAGAGAAGCATATTCTACACAACGGACAGGTAAATGAGGGAGTGCCTCGTCGAAAACAAGGTCAAACAGCCGCTGCTGTTGCAGAGCTTTTATGCCCCAGGCTGCAGCAGTAGCTGATGCCTCTGCTTTTGCTGCTTCCTCTGCAACGCGATGCTGCTTAGCTGGTTCTGCTGCCGCTGCGTGAAGGCGTAGCCTGCGCGCCTTCTGCAAAAGCTCGAGCTGCTGCTGCTGGAGGGCTCGCACGTGCTGCAGGTGCAGCTGAAGTAGATGCACCAGCTGCTGCTGCTCAAAGGAGGGCAAAATCCTCATAAGTCTTTCAACGAGAGCCTCGTAGACTTCCGAAGGCAGTGTTGTCATAGGAGAATCTCTCTGCTGTTCCCCGTGGCCCCTCGCCTGAGGCGTACCCGTAGTTCCACCTCGAAGCAGACACTGGGCTCCAGAAACCTCAACACACTGTAATCCTAAGGCCTCTTGAGGCCTTTCCAGGATGTGTAGTATTTGGTAACGGTTAAGAAGTGCAATGGGCTTGGGAACCCCCAACTGGGGGATAAAGACCTTCAGGCGTTTATCTTCCAGTTTATCAGGGGGCCCCCTTGAAGACGTAATTTCGTCTTCTGCCCAGGGTACTCCAGACAGCCGACACCAATCTGCATCGAACGCCTCCGTTATATCAAGTCGCCAGTCTGAAGGGCCCTCTGAGAACAGGGTCGTAGGCCTTGAGACAGTTCCGACAGGAGCTCCTGCGCCTTCTGCGTGCGTCACACGAATGCCTCCCTCCTTTGGGGCATCAAAAATACAGAATAGAGAGAGAGACTCTTCCCTAGTCTGTGGTCGAGGCTTTTCCAGTTGTCCTTCCGGGGATAAAAGAGGACCCTTCTGGTGTGATGCCTCAGGGGCCTGTGCCTGGCCACCAGCCTCGGAGAAGGACAAGTCCCACGTGCGTCGCCAGAAAGTGGAGCCACCAGGTTCCATCTCCTGAGTGGCAACAAACTTCCAGTGGGGTGCCCTCTGTACTTTTCGCTGCTCTTCTTTGAGGGCCTTCTCATCAAGATCAGGACGGGGGAACCGAACGCGTAGTGGAGAGCCTCTGGGGCACCCCCCGTCAACACCTTGACCCCTGGGGCCTCCAACAGCGGACTCCTCAGGCCGGATGCAGGCCCCTCCATCTCCTTCTTCGGTTGGCAGACACTCGGGAATTTCTCTAGGGGCAGGGGTACCCACCTCTCCCTTCAGCAGCCGCCGAAGTGAACGCCCTCTACGGAAACTGTCCTGGCGAGCCTCCACAAACACCCTAGTGGAGATCTCTCTTAAAGAGCAAGTGACGCCTGGGCAACTGCACTTCCGCAAAACCCTGGGGGCGAACCCCCTGCGTAAGAATACCATCTCAACCCGTGTCTATCGGAGAGGGCTATTGCGGAACCCCCATTACCAAGCCACTTTGCTTTTTAGTATACGTATGGGGTGAGCACACGGAAAATGTTATTTAGGGTGCTTCAGGTGGGAAAACCAATAAATCAGAGAAGCCGGGGAGACCCTATGCATCGACTGGGCCAGCAATACCAATGAGCAGCCAATGAAAACCTAACCTGAAAAGCCCTAGCTCCTTTTCCAAATAAATTCATAGAAATTTTTCGTCAAGAATACCGCAATGCAGGTCCGTGGCCACTAAAGAAGCCACTTATTAGCAGGGCCCAAGGAAGCCTAATTGGGACGCCACGTGTCCCTTGGGGGGCCCCTACAAGGAGCCCTATGGTGGCACACCTGGGTGTTCACAGCGGCCCTCTTCGAACATATCAGCAATACCCACTTTTAAAGCATAATCCGGCTGGATGTAGGAAAGCAAGACATGTGCCGCGGCAACTCCCGTCCTCGGAGCCCACAAGCGGGACGGGGGCCCTTGATCCTACACGGCGTTTCGCAACACCCGCCTGGTACAAAGGGGCTAGTAGCCACATTAAAGAACTGATAGAGGCCATGAGAACACCTCGACAACAGGACAGTGAGACAATACTACCTTTTGGGCAAAAGTTTTGTTGTGGTTCTGGCATGTCGGATCGATTCTGACGTCGACAGGGGTCTTGCACTCCCCACAAGAGGCCCCTTCCACACTGCTCTAAACACTATTTCATCGAGAGTACCTATCACTTTTCCAAACCAAACATGGCTTTCTGGGCTTGCGGGCGCATTGTGCTCCGGCTCATGCTGTTCCACGTTAGGGTCGCTTGGTTTTGGGAAGGACGTCACCGTAGGCGGGTTCTATGAAGCCGGAGTTTTGATCTACCGATAATTCTAATGATGAAGAAATCTAAAATATGGTAGTAATTCCAAGAAAGTGTACGTGTCGTGAGAAAGATCTCATCTACAGTTTAGAGGCCTGGATCCCAATGCTACTGCTGCTACAATTCAATTCAAACGACACTAAAGAAAAGCTTTATGCTCCTTCCTCTCCGTACAAGCAGCAGTAGTAAACAACAGGAGGAGACCACCTGGGAGGGCATACAACGGACCTACCGGGAGTTACCTTCGCCATCCTATAGGGTCAACATCCATAAAAAGAGGCCCAGTCAGTGCAGATTACGGATGCCCGAACAAAAAGATCCCGTTACGATAAATCTAGATTTGAACACTAGACGAGAACCTCGTTTTTTGAGTTTAGTTTTTGGTGGATCATTTGTTCGGGCGTTGATTGTTCTTGGACTCCTCACCAACCAAGTGGGGAAACACCTCTTGCAAATAAGAGAGGCATTCCTCTGCTGATTTCCCGGGATTGGCAAATTGCCAGATACGCTGCAACAAAACGAAACAACAAGATTCAATTAGACTGTTAAGAACTACAGAATGGCTACTTAATGCCCGTCTCGAGCGCCCTGACAGGGCCTCGCGGCATTCCGCGGCCCCTCAGGGGGCCTTACAAGTGCGCATGCAGCTATTCTCGGCAAGTGCCTTCAGTCTTTCAGGCTCACAAGCTCCACATTACGAAAATACCTCAAGATGCCCATCTAAGCTAGTTCCACGTGGTCGCTGTGGCCATGAAACGACCTACTTGCTTTTCCATGACTTCCCCAAGAATAGGTCCAGACGCCCCAGGTAGAGCACGAGCCACCTGCACGAAGCAGCAGTAACCTCAACACAAAATACGACATCCAGCGCAGTACCGCGGCGGATACTACAGCGGAGGAGAGATAGGGTGGAAGAGGCTCAACACTGAGCTCAGCTGCATGTGTGTGGGGTGAGACACACCTGCTTCCCATTGCAAAGAGGGGGCATACGCCAGGCATCCTGGAGGTCAAGAGCCTCAATTGTGTCTTTAAGGTGCACCATACGCCTGATTGCTTCTATCGCTGCCTCCTCCCTGGATAGCAGCAAACTGTCAAGTTCTCCCACATCGACCTCAGGAGCTACTTCATCCTCTCCTGCTACTGCTCCTGCAGCTTCTGCAAGCTGATCCAGATTATTCAATTGTCCAGAGACGCCCTTCGGTCCGCACAATTTCTTTTGTTCATGGACCTCCTCTCCAGTATCGGTTCCCCTCCTGTGCTTCACATGACTCTCCCCTGCCCCTTCCCCAGGTGTGTCAGCTACTGCTGTGGGAAGGGGAGATGCTGTTAGGGCGACTCTTGCTGCAGCAATTGACGCTGCAGTGTCCTTGTAGATAACTGCCCCCAGGACCTCAGCAGCTGCAAGAAGTAGGGCTTCTCGCCACTGAGAACCTACCTCCCTCACCAAAGTGCCCAATCGTATCCTCTGCTGCTGTTGCTCCTCCTGCCCCAGTGCTTGCTTGTGCAGGAGTAAGTCACTTTGTGCTGCAGTGTGCAGAAGTGCCGCATGATTTATCAAGCTTTCTGTTGCGGTTGCATCTGCATTAGGGAGCTTCCAGGAGATGGAGACGAGGGCTCCTGCCACAGGTCGAACACGGGGTCCTGTGGGGAATACAGCCAAGAGGCCCCTTAGGGGGTGCAGCACGGCTGCAAACAACAAATGACGCAGTTTGTCTTCTCCACCCACCAAATGGATGCCCTTACGCAAGGCCTGATATAGCTTTGTCATGCTTGAATATGCTGCCGTTGCTGCTGTTGTGGATCCCCGCTCCTGCAACTTCTGCAGCAAGGCCTCCCGAGCAAGGATGTGTCTCAGTGCAATCAGGCAGGAAGCCCCCAACGGTACTCCAGCGGAGGCTTCCTCCATGAGGGATTGTGGTTTCTGTGTGTTCGTAAGATGCTCAGCATAGGCCTTAGGGCCCAAACGAGACCTAGAAGTCCCTAAGGTGGGGTCTTCCTCTGATTGCTTGTACACTGTGAGGCCCCCTGCGTTTCCTGTTATCGCTTCCCACACCCGCAGCTGCAGCATGAGAAGTACTCCCCTTAAGGTCTTATTAAGGGGCCCCTCAAGCAGCTGGTATTGCTGCTGCTCGGCAGGTCCCCGCCCGTTTGGTACTGCTGCTCCTGTTGCTGTTTGCGCCACCAGCGCCTGCTTCTGAGAATCGCGTTTCTTATGTGCGATGGAGAAAATCTTCTTGATTTCGACGCCGATTCGCTCCCTGGCCACTTTGGCCATAAGGGCCTCATGAATATCAGGGTCTGCACCAGCGGCAGCAAGAGTCCTTTCAAGCCGGAAGTCAAGAACAGCCGCAAAGCGCACCCCCCGTAGAAGCCGCAGGGGATCTTCTAAGAGAGTGGTGTTAGGGGAAGAGCTGGCTGCCCTGAGAATGCAGTGCCTAATGTCATCGAGGCCACGTCCGAGCCAGTCCTCGACCAACCCCGTTTTCAAGTTGTAGAAAAGCGCATTACAGCAGAAATCCCTTCTGGCTGCATCTTGTAAAGGAGTGCCGATGGCTGTGGTGCTGGGTATCCTGCTGTTGCTGCAGTAACTTTCGCTTCTGAGATTGACCAGATCCAGAGAGAACGGATGCATCGTGAGGGTCGCTGTCTCCAAATGTTTGCTCTGAGCAGCGTTTTTCGATATGATGCCCACCGCGTGTGGGGATTTACCCTTTGAGACAAGCCATCTAAACGCAAACAGACACCTTGGCACTAAGGCGATTATTACCGACACCTGGAACACGCCCCTGCACGGGACAGAAAAAGCCATAAAGGTGAGCATCACGGAGAGAGAGCTTGAAAGGAACAAAACCGCCTACGGAAACAGATTCTCATCCTATCAACGAATAGAGATAATGCTGTGCAGGGCCCGGAGGTCAGGGAGACGGACAAGAGGGAGGACAGAGAGAGAGAGACAGACAGACAGAGACAGAGAGAGGAGTTGGGTAAGGTAAGACAACAACACATGGGCAGGGAAGTCAGGAAGAATAATCGACTAGAGTAGAATATTCAAGCGTCTACGAAAGGCACAAGAAGGAAAGGGCATAAGCGAACAAGTGAAGATTCAAAGCGGCATTGGCATGCCTGCTGATATGCGATGCCTGTGAATGGACTCAGTGTCTTCCCAGACCCAGTCGAAGCCAGCACACTGCATACTCGGACTACCCACGAAATCAACAATGATCGCGCGCAAATCAGCATGCAGTCAGAAACAGCAGAACCCGCAGCAGGGCCAAGCGGACGATCTCAACAACCGACAAGGCAACAGCGTCATACCGGTTAAGCAGAGTGGCGAATCTAGCTCCTGTAATGGAGTCAATAGCAATGTCGATATCCTGAGAAGGAATCCCTAGAAGCTTGTCGCGCACCCAGCCCCCAGCCGCCCTTAGCTCTGCAGCGAAGGACAGCACACCCGATTCGCTAAAGCGCCAACGGTGTCTTACACGCACAGCATACCACATAAAAACCAAATTAAGGCCCACAGTCGACGCGAAGCGCAGCCGAAGCCAACATAACGACGGCCAGACAGACAGAAAAACTGCAGGCACACCGGAATGCCTGGAGTCCGCTGCCACTACCTGGAGACGTTCAGAAATGCGCTGTGTGTGTGTATGTGTATGTGTGCACCATTGAGAGCATTTGCAACCAAAAATCACAGCCATACGCGCATGGGCTGCAGTAGTCCAAAGAAGACGTGCGGCGGCAGCATCCCCACAGTCAGGGGCAGTGCCAGTGGAAGAACGACGCAGCTAAAGCAACTACAGTGCACAGCATGGGAGAAAACAAAGCCATGCATGCTGCAAGATGGACTGCTGGGGTCCTTTGTGAGGAAGCAAGACGTACCAATATTTAGCTCTTTGTCTACTACACACTTATTCAGAGTACAAAAGAGTTCCTTCTCCTCCTGGGTCAGCTGCAGTGTCACTCCAGCAGCAACAGCAGCAGGAGCTCTTGCCGCTGCTTCTGCAACTTCGGAGGCGGATGGTAGCAACAAATCTGTCTCCTCGCCATTGGATGCTGCTCCACTTGCCGCTGCTGCACCTGACGCCTTGATCGCGACCCTGGACTCCTTCCGGGAGTCTCCCACTGCTGCCTTGGGAACCACTACGGTTGCAGCTGCTATTGCTGCACCTGAGGTGGGGACAGACGAAATGTGCCGCATCTTGAGGGGAAAACGTAAAAAGAACTGTGGGAGAGGCTGCAGCCGGACGCCAGGGCGTGAGGCCGCTGAAGATGCGTTCGTTGTTATTGTGCGGGGGGTCCAAGAAAGGTTGGCTACGTGAAAGCTGAACGATAGGAAGGAAGACGCAGTTCCCCTGCGCATCCGCTGGTCAATCCTGCAGCGGCGGCTTGTGGTGCTAATGCTGCCCGTACCACTACAGTAGCTGCTGCCGCTGAGCTCCGGAGATGTGGATAGTGGATGCGATCGAATGCAGTGTTTAGGAGTGTTATTGCTAAAATTATAACCTACGTGTCCCCAGTGTTTTGCCGTGAAGTGACTTAGAGGGGCCCCGAGGGGATCCGGCGAAGCCAAACTGCCTAGACATCTCTCAAGCGTCAGCAACAGCAGAGATAGCAGGGCTTGGCGCTTCATAGAGAAACAGAACACAAAACGACGGGAGACTTTAATTTCTTCTGCCAGAGCACACTCGGCAAAGACTCCGACCAGGCCCCCAACCTACTAGCCGCAACGATGCATGCGCAAGAGCAGCAGTTCGGGCAGCCTTCGCAAAGAAACGAGCCCCATACTACAGCGAGCAGGGCTAATTCTTACTCTTTAACTCATCTAGGATTCTCGTTTGAGTGCAGTCACCCGTGTCGGAGCTCTGTCGTGGAACCCACTGCAGGTCGACTGGGGGCCCCCCCCTGCACCGAAGCATTTGACAGACGGGGGCCATTGCTCCTGCACATTTGAGGCCCTCTGTAGTGATGAACTGTCTGTGTGAAGCCTACACTAGACTGTCTTTGAAGCGAAGTGGTGAGCACTGCCGCTGCGGCTACACCATCCGAAGGGGCTGTACACGCAGAGGTAGTACAAAGGCAAAGTAAGAGAAAGCGACGGCATACTACTCAAGGATCTCATGAGCCGATTGCACGGTGGGGCTTCTGCCGAGGCGGCTGAGGCCCCTTTTGCACCACCTGACGAAGCAGCACGTGCGGCTCCTTCGGATGTTAGGGAAGCGACAGAATCCAGGATAGCAGCAGTTTCGGCCTCCCTAGCAGCACCAAACGGAGCAATTGCAAAAGAGACATCCTCAGGAAGTGCAATAACTGGTGATTCTATTGCCGTCGACGACCCCTGGGGATTTGTGTTTTTTGCTTCGGCCTGGTTGCTGGTAGCACTTGTGGCAGGCCTTGTGCTCCAACGGCAAAAGCGCAGGCTGCAGCATGAACAGTACGTTTTAAACTATATAATCTGACTTTGTCGTCTCCTTAGCGATAAGAGCTTTCGTGCAAGGACCTCTCATGCGCGTTGGGTGATTGTATAGTAGCAAATTGCTTGCGTTACTTGTTGCTGCTCACTGTACAGGCACTGCAAGATAATGGGGGAACTCTCCTGATATCACGTCTCCTGAGATTTCCAGCCACATCGACGCCAGGCGTCACACGATCCCCGAGGCATTCCGTAATGACTGCCTGGATTGCGAGCTTCTCCCCAACAATGTGTACGAGGAGCCCTATTACAGACTCGCTCTTTTTCCGACAGAAGCTTTGGGGCACACGCATAAGACCTAGGATAAATGTGATCAGGACTGCGAAGTTTCTAATCTAAGAGGGGTTTGGCGGTCCGCGATGCTTTTCTTTCATAGATGCTGTGATGATGGCTCTCTCGTATGTGACAAAGTCAAGGTATAGGGTCTACAGCTGAGTGCTTGTTGTGCACAACGTAAGACTCTAAATCGGGGCGATTTTAGCGGCAGCGCATCGTCATGCCGTTCCCACAGTAGCACAAGTAGGAGCAGTGTCTCCCTTATTGGGAATGGGCTTCGTACAAACATCGGCAGCAGCAGCAACCACAGCAGCACGTGAATTCTCTTTTTTCCACTTGAGATCAATAGAAACCAGGTAACTCCGCTGGGGGGCACAGAAAATGCCTGCAAGCGTCTCCACCTTCAGTTGGCTCTCCCTGCTCCGTTGTGATCTATTTTACCTCCCCTGGCTTTGGGGTTCCCGTCCCGTTGATTTTGGCCCAATTGAGGGCGTGTGAGTCTTTTGCGGGACTCTCGATGGTCTCGTGGATCCTTGTTACGCAGGGATATCTGCGGTATTCAATAAGCTTGGATTCATGAGTGTCTATTTTGATAGGTCTCTTCCAAAAGGGAGAACCGCGATTGATAGCCACAAGGTTTAAGTCGAGTGCGGGGGCCTCGGGTGACTCCTAGCGTTTTTTTCGAGGCTGCACAGCCCTCCTGATCCTGCTGTAGTTCTGGCCTGAGCAGCAAGCAGCCTGAGCAACCTCATCCCTTTTGCCTGGTTTTCGATTGCGGACTTCAGTGCTCCTGCTGTTGATGCTGCGGGCGTTGCTGCTTCAGCAGTTGCTATGGCCTTTTCACCTGATTCTGGCTTGGACGACGCTGCAGTTGATTGTGCTGATGCTGGATAGGCTGAATGTTTAACAGCACGTCCTAGTGGTGCGTGTGCCACTGCAGCGCATGCTACTGTAGTTGATGTAGTCTTGCTAGGCGCTTTCGTCATTGTTGCACACAAGGGGGGTAGCGCCATCTGTGCTGCTGGACTGCCCCAAGATTTCCCTTGACTTAAAACCTCCGAGCTTCTTTTTGCTGCTTCTGTGGGAGCGCCTGAGGGAGAAGGGCCTCAGCACGGGAATTCATAGAAGATGAGGGCTGTACACATACGTGACGCCCCTCTTTGTATCCCTTAAACCCGTCAATCCCGCATGCTCGCAAGGCATGTTCAAATCTTACACGGCCACTTGAGGACCACTGCGTCGTGCGCCTTGTAGTAGCCTTCTTCTAAACAGGCCTTACCCAAAGCGACTTGCGATCGCAGCAAACCAAAGCATCTGCAACGTGAGTCTGCGGTCCGCCGTTTTGCTGTTGCCTGTAAACACCAAAGCCATGTGGCCACAGCCGTCCTGCATCGCGATTTGCAATAACAAGGAGATACAGGACATTGATGCAGGGCCCGACGTTCCACGGACAGCCTTAAGTGGCCCCACCCCCACTGTCATTGGGAAAAAATGTTTTTGCAAGCTGCTCACCAGCACCCCTCGACGGACAAGAGTCAGGCAGGAGTCCCTAAAGCGATCAAGTGGGCCTTTTGGGCTCCATTATCTGCGGTTCGTGAGCATCTCCTAGGGCTTTTCTCAGTTATGGTTGTTGTCAAAGGGGGTCTCATGTTGATTTGATGCTCTTCGTTAGCTGAGGGCCTTCTGGATCGCACGACGCCACAACAGGTGGGCTTCAGAGGGGATTGTCCAGTTGTGAATTCTCTGGAGTCCCCCTGCTGTCAGTCGGCCGGACCCCGGCAGCCACGCAGTGTCTTCCCAGAGTTTCCACAACAGCCGTGAAGGTTGTAAGACTTTTGCTGATACAGGCAGCCTGAACACGGACAGGATGGAGAGGCGAGCAATACCATAAATGGGAGGAGAACCACCCTCTCCGAACAGCCACGCCATGGGGATCATTAGCTGACACGATCTGTTGCCTATAGTGGCAACATATTTCGAGACAGAACTTCAATGGCCCTGAGGAAGATGTTCGGGAGGCAGAACACGCAAGAGGCGACACCCTTGTCCCTAGGAGTGCACCAGCACAGATCTCCCGAGCAAGCAGGGCTTCGAAGCTTCATGAACCGTAGATTGGAAAGGAGGGACTCACCTATGGTACTGCAGCTCCTCTCGCGACAGTCGCTAGGCCGCTGTGAGATCCAGCAGGTACAGCCGGGGGCCCGCCTTCAGTGCTGTTTAGCAATCGAGAAGCGCACAGCACAAACCAAGAAGCCATGACAGCTTCAGAACTCCACTTTTCGCGAGGCTGGAGCTACACAGGAAGACGTTAGGGCCCTCTCAAGTATTTCGATTTGCACAAGGTACCCTCTGAAGAAAGGCATCATAGAGTTTGTTAAGGTGCGCGTGCACAGAAAGTCCCATTGAGTAGGTTACCGAAAGATTGAGGACCACATGGCCTCCGCTGCTGCTGCAATTGGCTGCTGTAAGCCTGGCCGCCCTCTGGCTAAGGGCTCTTCAAGCTGCCGAAATGGTGTCTGACGCAGAGTGCACCCTCTTGCACGAAAGTCCATTGACCCCAGGACCCACAAGAGAGGCCCCAATGCCTTCACACCGCGTCCTCATCTGTTCAGGCAGCACAAAACCGTTCACTGCTGCCCTCTGTAGAAGATCCTTGATAGGCGTAGGCTAGTCTCCCTGAGGGCCTGCTACGAGCTTCCCCTGGGACTTTCTACTTGTGAACCCCCTTTCCAAGCATTTGGACGTTCCACTAAGTGCTGTTTTGGCGGCGCCGAGAGATCCCTAACCTTCCCACAGTACGCTTCAGCAAACGAGAGTGACACCTCCACTGTTTGCCCACGCCGTAAGAGCGCAGGAACGCATAGCAAAAGACCCATGGCAGGTGCACAGACAGGTGAGTAATAAGCGTCATTTAGAGATACGGAGGGCTCTGAAGCCACACACATACACAAGGCTTGGTCGGTGTCTTAGCCCCTAAGACCCCACTCTCTCGTTTGCACCGCCAGGGCCTCCATGAGAAATAGTATTGCTTGTAGACTAAGACACCAATTTTTGGCATTCGTTACTTCGCGCAGGTGCTTCAGGGCACTTTCGTAGGGTCCTACTATTGTGTATGTCTTTCCACCACCAGATGCCCCCTGTCTGGTGAACTTAATAACAGCCTGTCGCATAAGTCGTTCCTGTCTAGGAAACCTCCAGCCTTGGAGTGCAGATTGTTCTCAGCACACAACACATCTTGAAAGCCAGCTCGCATTGCAACCCATGCGTGAAGTCTACGCAGTACAGCCTCTGCAGATGGCCTACCCACAGCCTGGTCACCTGCATCTTAAGACGGAGTCTGTTGCAGTAAGCTCCCAAACTAAAACTGACCCACATACCCTCTATGCTTCACGCAGTTGTCCGGACACCACTCGACTCCTGCAGGACCTCCTGAGCTCTAAACATAAAATCCCTTATTTGCCCTTGAAACCCGCTTTTGAAAGCGTGCGAGCAGTCGGTTGAAAAAACCCTGTCTGATGAACCCAGTGTCGCCGTACGTGTGGAAGCTTAGAGAACCGATAATTTTTAGGGATGGGACTTCCCTGGGGCATTTTTGAGCCACAGGGACACTGGATGGCTTAGACGGCAACACCACCACTGAGGGCCCCCCCCTAGAAAGCGCTGAATATAAATCAGTGGACGGTGGCTCTATGGTGGGTTCTTGATCCTCTGGGCCGCCTTTGCTGTTGTGGGCCTGTACCTCTTGAGGCAGGCAGGTTGGCAGGCACACGAATTCTGCCAGCAGCGGATACCGGAGGACACCTGAAGCCCCTGGAAGACTCTGCTCCAAAAATCCCCAGTTGAGGGTCCTTTGTATTTATCGATGTGTGTAATAGGGGCCACACTCGGGTCAGTTTGAGGGACCCCATGGGACTGGAGGGGGCTTTATGGGGAGCTTCCAAGCGTACGGATATTTGCTGTCAAAGTGGCGAGGCTGGTTTGGACCCCGGCCGCAGGCACCCAATGTACAGTGGCTGTCACCGGCTGACGATGAACACGGGGGCATCATGTATTGGTAGGAACGCATGCACTCCCCCCCCAATTGGACGCCAGTAGCCAACATGATGCCCCTGATTGGCTTTGAAGGCTGCGGAGCCATCCTGTTGGTCACAGATGGGGCAGCAGGATCATTTAGAAGTGCCTGAGGAGCCAAGGAACGTTGTACCATTTCTTTTGGAGGGAAACTCGTAGCCTACTGCCGCGAGCTCCCCTTTGGGGCAGTTACTGCGGCACCGGTTGCCGTTCCCCCAGGAAGCCCAAAACATGAGGAGAAATCAAATAATGCAAAGCCAACAAAACCTCAGGTCTCAGACTTAAAAGGGTAAATTAATTTTGTAAAACAGGACGCTGGCACGGGGGCACCCATCCAGTAGTCCTTAACCAGACCAGACTGGTCCGTTAGTGCGTGGTGACCCTCCGTCGCCTTAGGCATGCCTCGCGCAATGTAAAATAATAGTTCTTTTGAATCTATATCAACAGTGTCCTAGAGCTATCATGTTTTCAATTAGCTATGTGACTTGCACAATGACCAGTAATTTCCTATTTGCACTGGTCATCCTTCAATAGAAGGGGTGTTCTAGACGAGTCCCGCCAACCCCGCTTTAGTATCCTTTTGCATTTACACCATTGGACCGAATCATCAATATGAATATTTTGGAATAAATTCGCGTCAGAAGCAATGAAATAGAGTCAGAGGTATGCATCGGTATCTAAAACACTGCAATTTGTGCCTTCCCCGCCACTCACGTATTTTATTAAGGAGGGACACAATGCGGAAACCGCATGCCCTAATTTTATTTATGCATCTGTCAAAGGTATTCCTTCCCATAACGGACGTTTAATCAGCCAATATGGGCTGAACCCCTAGATGGGGTCGCTTAGCATGTTTGAACTGCCGTGCTTAAAATGCAATACTGAGTGGGTTTCCTTCCAGGATTCATTGGATGTGCTACCCTTGCCATTTCTTGAAGATGCTCCATTTGGGGAGCCGCGGAGAGGGGCAGAAGGGTCGGAGCCCATTATGAAGTTTTCATGTGGCGTAGCACCTGAGTTCAGGCAGCGTCAACCCCAACTACAAAGAAAGCTTATAGTGGCCTTAGCACTGCGGTGATTAGGCGGCTCTCATGAAGAATATAACTAGAAGAGCTAATACCACTCAAACCCCTCTTTCTACAGCTTTGTGCGTGGGGATGTAGGGGTGCTCTGTGCTCGTCAGCAGTACCTGGATATCAAGAAAGGCTCCAGGGATGAGCGAGAAACCACCCAGGACGGCCGTACCCGCGAGAGAGTAGAAGACGTGGCTCCATCTGAGGGCAAGACAGAACATAGCAGGCCTTCTCAGTATAATGCAAATAGATTCAAGTTTACCTCTAGTCGAATGCGGGTTCTCAAGTTGTCTAGGGAACACTTCAAACACACACCCATAATGTGAAAGCAGAATTGGGGTCAAGAGGCCTTGGACAATGGAGCCCACACTACCGAAGCCATTGACGACGCCTGAAGTAGTAAACACACAGGGCACTCCTGCCAGCCGATGATTCTATTCTACTATTGTGCCTTGGCAGTTCCCTTATCCCCCTTTTCCACAGCATCACTGTAAGTCCGCATACGCCTCCTCGCTCGCCCTGCTCCTCAACAAAATTGCCCTTCCAGATCCTCCACTGGTGCTCTCAGAAAAGCCAGTCTCTCCCAAGCAGCCAGCTTCTTTTCTCCCTATGGGCCCCTGAGGGCCCGCCACGCAACAATTATGAGTGGAGGTCCTGAATCCTCACATGCTGCGGCGGCAACAGTTTGTTCGTCAGCCCCTCCAGGCTCGTCTGCGCAAGCATCTGCTGTGGCGGCTCCGCCTAAGACGGAGTCAGGGGCAGCTATAGCAGCCCCTGCAAGCAGGAGGGCCCCTTGTCCAACTAGCGAAATATCGCCAGGGGGAGCCCAGGCAACAGAGAGGTGCAGTAACGCCACAGAGGCCCCGCCAATGCAACAAAGTGGAGCCAGCAGAAGCAGACGACGGCCCTGGAGGTATCGATCGGACAACCAACTGAAATACAAACAAGCAAGCGGAAAGACTCCTGATTGAACATAAGCATTGCTGGCTACCGTTTTTGTTTTGGTTGAAGACATGTACACGGCCTAACTGAACTTGCCGTACATAGCAGGGCAACGACAAACAGCAGTCCGCAAGACCCGGGGATGCCCTTTCCCGTGCAACCCATCGGACAAACAAGCATTAAAGTCTTGCCAGAGGAAGATAGCCATGACCCACCCAACAGCAACCGATCCAAAGACTCCTCCGGCGTCAAAATAGATGCAGTAGAAGGCTGCATGAACACTCAAGCCGCAGAAAAAGGTATGGACCTCTTGGCCCTTCCAGGTTTCCCGGAAGAGGGAGTGCTGGGATTCGCACCTACTCCTTAATTCTGAGATCAAAAAGAAGTCCGAGGCAACTGGCATGATACATCATCTGAACTATGAAGAGAACTGCTGAGTTCCGAGCCCCCAGTCCCTAATCACAAACCCCAAACCCTCAAATCCTAAACTGCATGACCTACCTGCCGCTGAAGCGGTCAAATTTGCGTGCTTTTCGAGGTAATACGGCAGCCAGTACAGAAGGGAGTACCGCACGAGCTTCACACAAAAGTATGCGGCACAGAGATGCCTAATGCTCCCGATGTCCAACACCTTCCGGAGCAGCCACTGCTGCTGCTCCTGCTTGTGGGTAGCCCTTCCTTGGTGCTTCCTTGTAGCAGCATTTTTGAAGTCACTTTCTCCCGGAGCCTTCTTGAGGCCCCATCCCAGTAGCATGGCACAGAAAAAGACCCAAATGGCGGGGACGAGAAATGCCAGTCTCCAGCCGGAGACACCAGGGGCCAGCAAGGCTCGACCCCCTAAGGTATAAGCCTCCAGGACGCTCACTGAAGCTATTCGCCTAGAGCCAGTAGCCAGCAACTCAGCTGTCAGGTAGCTCGCGAATATACTCCCCACCTGTTGGCAGGTCGTCCATACACCTGAAATTCAAAGAAACCCCACGCTTTTGCAGACGCTACAACACAGATGCCCCTATGAAGAGGCTCCAGTTGCTTCAACAGCATTAAAAAGCTCAAGCCCTACTGAAACCGAATCTGGAGAGATATGGTGCTTGTTTCCAAAGGAACAGGGCAGTTGCTGCAACAGCCGCTTACCAAGTACTCCGCCTCGCTCTGTGCTAGAGAGCCATGAGGAAAGTGTGGACACGATAAGGGGAAACGCAAGGGCTTGAGATGCTCCATTGATTCCCCAGAGACAAGAGAGAGACAACGGGGAAAGCTGGGCATCCGGCAGGAGGTATATGCAAAAGCAACTGCAGGCGCTTATAGCGTAAGCAGCGGCAAGAATAACCGTGCAACTAGGGCCTCTCGAGCCTCCTAGGAGGGCCGGAGCTAGTAACAGCTGTGATACGGCGTATGCTCCCAAAAATGCAGTATCAACTCCACCTAAAGCAGCAGCAGTGAGACCGAGCTGCAGCTCCAGTTCCCTCTTTGAGGAAGCAAATGGCTTGCGGGTCAGATACAACGATGCATAGCAAAAGTACGTTAGCAACAACTGTTTTAACTTTCCCTCAGAGATGCGGCTGTTGTTGCTGCTGCTGTTGTTGTCGATAGTGTTGATGCTTTGCCTGGGGTGAAGATCCACCTGATCTTCTTCTGCGTCAGGAAGTAGAGAGGCATTCGTACCCAACCTGTAAGTGCTCTTGCTGCTCTGTTTTGCCCGGATTGCTGCTGACTGTCGCCGTTGACGAAAAGCGGGCAACTTTTCGGGTTCCCATTCGGCAGTTGTGCTGAGGGATGTTCGTAAAGGAATCTCATCTTTCTCATTTTCACTACTGCTCATATTGCTCATCTCTTTAACAAAAGGTAGCGGCCCCGTCTGCAGTCTGTGGGTCAGGTGCAAAGTTCGGACTAGGCCCCTCTCCTTGGGCTGGGCACTGTTGCGGCTTGAGCGAGGGATCGAGCCAATTACTTGTGCTTTGTCGGCCAGCTGAACACGGGGAGTCTTGGCCTTATTTACTCGACCTCCGCTCTGAGGGCTCTTAAGGGAGGGTAGGAGACCCTCTTCACGATTGGATGGCTCTTTTGTTGGTGCATAGCCTCCGCCTCTTTTCTTTGCGGAAGGTGCCCTTTTTTGAGGCGTGGCCCTTCGTGGGTTCCTTCCTCCTAGGCCTACTGCTACTGAGGAGCCAGTACTGCCAGATGCAGTAGCGTCTGGTGATGTCACTGTGCCTTGCCTTGTTACAACCATTGCTGCTAGTACTCGGCAGGCCCTGCAACGAAGTGGGACGGGGGCCCCTGTGTGCCCCTGTGTGCAGCCGCAGATTGAGCCTTTTTGTCGCCCTGATAGGCTTGCACCAAGGTACATAAAAGGATTTTGTGTACCTCAAGTGATGTGTAGTCTCGTATCCACTCCTCCCAGCCTAGGGAACCCCAGACATGTAGCTCTCATCGGGTCTGGGGCCCCCGCCGTGTCTATACTGTCGGGCTATGTGCTGCAACGAAACCCTAAAGTATTTGCAAAAGCTATTTAGAAGTCGACCTTTCATTTTGGTCGGAATACGGTAAACTGTCAAAACTTGCGTACGGTGTTAGTTAGTGTCATTCCGCAACCGTATACAGATGGAAGTGGCGATCACAGTGCATACCAATGCTTTGGTGGGTGAAAGCACGAAATAAATTTTAAGGAACCTATGATGTCTACCAGCATCACAATTTCTAGTTAAGCGTGCCTCAAATGAATTATTTCTGGACACTTTTCTTGAGCTGTGAGAGAGGGAATGGCTATGCATTTCCTCTGGTCTCCCTAAATAGTCAGCCGTTTCAGTAACCTCTCTAACAAGTAACCCAAATTACTGTACTTCATTCTTCGGATAACCCCCAAGTGTTCTTGGCTAGCCACACTATCCGAAGTTGAAGGGGGGGCTAGCCACTGCAACGCCCCATCGAACATCTCCATAGTGACACACTTTGCTCCACAATTAGTACAAACCTGAATAGAAAGTTTTGGGGTGTCTTCCAAAATAGCTCGCATTCTCCTAGCCGCACGTCTCAGACCTTTCGACAAAACGAGAGAGGCGTACCTGGGGTACGCCTGGCTGCGCCCTCTAGACACATAGAGGGTCCGCAGCTGGTTAAACACTGCGATAGCGCAAACACACACAGAAGTGCGACTTTTTATCAGGAAAACAGCGTACTGTACCAGAGTCAATGTGTTTTTTGGTCATGAGGGAGTGTCAGAACATACCAACGCCTGACTATAAGTGTATGCCTGGGGAACCTGTGAAGCTTTCGGAAGTGACGTAAGGCTAATAGAGAAGCTTCTTGATCTGTGAAAAAGCCTAAACTAGGGAAGAAGTGGGCGCATTTGCTGAGGCTGTGGGCGAAGACATAGATGTTATCCTGAGCCTTGACTTGCAATCCAACAATCACGTCTGTAGTCAGATCAGTCCAAATCCTTCAGACGGGCGAAATGTGCCCAGCGGCAGATTATGCGTTGTCCTGCCCAGATGTTCAGCAGCTAAAATCGCGCACGCCTTAACCTTGTAGGTTCTTCTAGTGCGGGAACCGCAGGAATAGACTAGCACCTTTGAGCATAATCCTGTGCTAGTGCAGCTACGCTACGTTCAAGTATGGGTATTCCGTGAAACGCTCCCGACTTTTTTCCGGTGTGTTCTACTACTGAATTTGTGCAAAAACCCCTTGCCAGGTATTGTTGCTCTACATTCTTCTTTACGTGTCATTCGGGGGGCAAAATTTGGCTTCGCTGCATGCAACGGCTGTAAACGGATGAAGAAATTGCTCTATGAAGCGGAGAGGCATTAGTGAAGTAGCGTATACTTTGATTCCATCTACATTTTGGCCTTCTTTTGGAGTATGCCATAGGAAAAAGGCTTAACCTTCTCATCGCTCCGACGACAGCTAACTACCGCGCCGTTACGGGTGCGTTCCTTTGGCTCCTTGTTGGTTGTAGGATAATGTGCATCCTTCTTCCCGTCGACTTCTTTTTACCGATTGATGTACACAAATGCTCGCTTGCAGTGATTTTGCGTGTGTACCCGCCTAAGAAGTGGCGGTACGATGGGGACTCTCCTGCTGTCCTTCGCGCAATGCATTCCCGCATGCAAATAGACTGGCGTGTACTTGCGAGAGGGGGCAAGATGCGGCGGGCTAAGCTACACGAAGACACTTTTAACAATGCTAATTACTTGATCACTAATAATTAATTGAAAATCGACTACTTATTTTGCCTTTTGCTAAGCGTTTTTAGTGTGAAACCTGATGGCTCGATACAAGGGGACTCACTGCTGTATGCGCTTGTGCTAGATGCCTGGTTTAACAAGCTGAAAGTGCTCGGAGTGTGCCGCTCCCCTTTTGCTGGGAATTCTCAGGGGTGTGAGTAGGGAAAGAGGAGAGTTTTTTTTCTGGGAAAACACTCAAGTTTTTACTGAGATTCTTCTGGAGCCTCGTGTTCAGTGTGTCCGTACGGGAATAAATGATGGAGCGGTAGACGATTATATTTACAGAGAAAATTGAGAGTTTACTGATTGATTTGACTGTTCATATACCGTATATATTGCATAGAAGCGTTAGCGGAATGAAAACAACTCGCAATGCTGTGTGCATTTTGGCTAGGTGATCCCTTGTGCAAACACATGCGAACACTCGGAGTACGCGAAGGTTGCAGCAAAGCTCAACCTAGCTGTACCACCCCTCTCATCTCCGACTCCTAAAGGATCCAAAAAGCAAAAAAAGAAGGTTTCAGGAATAAGACTCAATAATTATCGGTTGAAGTTTGTAATAAACCTGTAGCGTGTACCCCACGGAGAAAATAAGGCGCTGCATTTATTGTCGCGAACTAGTACTATTCTGCATTAAGTAAGATCTAGAATCTAAGAGAGACAAACCAATTGTTCAGCTGCATAGTGGCTCTGATGTAGACATAACGAGTGACATAGAAAGTGCCCAAGTCTATGTTTGCCTGTTCCACATCTCCCTGTAAGGTGCTGACTAATCATAAGCAGGAGTCGGCTTGTCCTTAAAGATTGATCCTCACCGGATGCAGCGTCTTTTCATGTGATCTGAATAGTTTGGATCACACCTGCAGCAGTGCGCCTCTGTCTCTATAGCACACTAGGTGCCCTAAATTTGGGGGTGTGAGATACTGCGGTGGTGGCTTAGGTTATACTGTCTGCACAAAGATAGCAGGGAATTTCTCAAGCAGGCAGCAACATGGTGCGGCAGATAAACAAGATGAACACGGAAAATCGATGCTTTCCACGGATGCCGACAGAAAGACGAAAACGCACTGCGTTGGTGGGGTGGGATTTGCATTAATATCTTAGCTGTCCTTTTGTAATTGAGCATTTGCTTTGGCTTGCGTCGTTGAATGCGATTTAATTCTTAGTTTATCCCCCACTTTTTATTGCCTAGCCTTCCCTCACCCCGCGTCTTTTTTTGTACCTCAGCTGGAGAGGGCCCCGTGCCAAACCAGCCCCTACTGCTAGGGGCCCCAGGGACTGCTCCTCTTTCGCCTTTGTGGCTACCTTGTATATTTGAGTTTTCTGAGGCCAGTTTGCACGTGTACAATCTCATATTCTAGCTGAGTGGCGGGAGTTTATCTCCTAGAATTGCAGTTTTAGTGTTGTGGGTGCGGCAAGTGCTGCAACCGCAGAAAACATCAGCTCGACCATCCTTTGCAATGGTGCCTACAGGAGACAACAAAGAGTCTGCGAGGTCCCCAGGGACCGTAAGTGCAGCGGTCCCACGTGCCTCCGACGCAACGGAGGCAGAAGTTGTTGGTGCTTCCGAGGCAGACAGCGCTGCGCGGAAGAGGGAAGCTCTCGGGGCAGAACCGGGGGCCCCTGAAAAGAAGCAAAAGACAGAGGAGGATGAGATAAGCCCCGCTGTTCCGTTGGAGGCCATGGGGCCCTTAGGGGACATTTCGCGCCCAACCTCCGGAGGCCCCACAGTCACCTCCTCGGGGACGGACAGGGAGGCCCTTTCGCGGTTGAAGGGCGTTCAAGATCAGCAGCATGCACAGATAGGCGGTGAACAAGTGACGATAGCACCAGGAGTTGTGCAGTGAGCGCTTCGTTGTCTGTGCGCGCACATCAGCAACACGAAGCAACCGTTGGACTGCTCCGATTTCGGTTTCGAGTTCCAGAGTTTTGCGCCTTGCTAATATTTAATGTCATGAGCTTCTGCGTTTGAACGGTGTGGGCTGTATTTCCAGGTTGGCTTCCTTCGACAGAAACCTGCATGCCTCAGTAACTCTGTCCCGTCCCTCCCTCTTTGTGGAATCGCTACCAGCCCAAGATCTGGAGGGATCTTTACAGGCGTCTGTTGGCACTCACAAGGTAGAAGAGGCTAACAGGATGCCCTCCGAGATCTCGCCGGATGGCAGGGAAGGGCTGCTGCCCGACACACCTGCTGATAGACCGCCTGTTGCACTGGACGAGCAGAAAATCAAGCAAAGAGACGAGGTTCGTAACTCCTGAGCGCTTGTTGGTGACCTTTTAAAACCGCATGAAGAAATGCGCACACGGTGCAAGGGTCCCTTTGCTCGTGGCTTGAAGCCGGTGTCGCTGTCGTGCAGCCCGTTAAGTTCGTTAGCCTCTTGATGCAGTGTGTGATTTATAAATCAGGAGGCAGAAGCAGACGCAGCGAAGGCGGCAGCGGAAAGGCCATCTTTTCCGAGTTGCAGTAGCTGGTTCGATGCGTCCAAAGTCAGTCCCCTCGAGCAAGACATCCTTCCTGCCCTCTTTGCTGGTAGGTAAAAATCTTACTCAGAAGGGGTCTAAATGACGGGCACAGGAGAGTGTTTATTTTAACGAGGCAGTTGCAGTTTCAGGAGAATCTGTGATGTTGTTGCATGTGCGGTATTTGCTAAGGGAGTTCTCTTCCGGAGGCAGAGCGCGAGGAGGTGTACGTACACCTGAGACAAGCCATCATTGGCCAGTACCGGCAAAACCCGCAAAAGCACCTCTCCTTCACAGAATGCAGACAGTTGATTCGTAAGGATCGTCCTTTCGACGCTGCTGTTGCTGCTGCCACGACGGACCGATCAGTTGAGGCAGGGTCAAGGGATGTAGCGGCAGCAACGGCACAGATATATGCGGTGCAGAGGGTCTCTTTGGAGAGTACAGCAGCGGCGTAGGAGGAAGAGTGCGTGTATCTGTCGACAACCCGCCACTGCTGAAGTGCGTGTGCGTGTGTGTGACTGTTGCCGCGCTTGCAGCTGGCGATGCAGCTTTGTTGCTGCGGGTATATTCGTTTTTGGATTACTGGGGACTCATCAACTTCCAGGCGGACTCCAGCACGCTGCCCTCCTCTGTCCGCAGGAAGAGAGAGTTCCTGATGCGCGACATGCAGGTATATATCTCAAGCTTCAGGCCTTAAAGGTCTACGGGGGTGCAGGCTAGATGTAGGAGTAGGGATGCACACGTGGATGCAGAAATCGCCCTTCTTCGTACCGGACTTGGTGCGCGCAGAGCTGGAGCAGGTCTTCTCTGTACGAGAAGCTGCAGCAGCAAGGCGAAGCAGCAGCAGCGGCTGCAGGAGCAGCAGCGGAGACGAGTGCAGCACCTCAAGGGGAGGGGCCTTGGCGCTGCGTTGCCTGTGGGAAGATCTGTCTCTATTCGTACTATGTCTTGAGGCCAGGTGGCACAGCCGGTGAGGGCTTTGGAGCGTGGAGTTTATGAGCGTTACAGGCGATTCACACATAGGCCTTAGGGGGGAGGGCGCAGAACAGTTGCACACACCTACGCATAAACACACCTACACATAAACACACCTACACATACACACACCTACACACACCTACACACACACAGACACACGCACAGACACGCACCAACCCACCAGCAAAGGCTGCATTGATTTGCTTGCGCTGGCTGCGGCTTTCGGTGCAGGGGTGTCTTTGGGAGTGATGGACAACTGCGTGTGGTGCCTCCGCTGCCACGCTGACGGCCGGTACCCCCATGTACTTACCGCGCGCAACTTTGTGAAGGTAAATCCAAGCTTTTAGAATCGGGGAACTCGAGGAAGCACCTAGTGGGAGCCGGCTGTTAGGAGGGGGATTTTGAGTTTAAGGTCTAGGCCGTCACCCTTGGCGTTTGTATGCAGGTGGACTTGCTCATTGCGGGTTCTGCTGCGGACGGTAGCGACTGGCAGCTCGATGAAACAGAACGTCTAATTGGTGCGCTTGCCCTACACCATAAGCCTCTTAGATAGAGGTCTGTATCCAGGTGGTTGTGTCGTGTTTGAGCGTGTCACTAAACATCGTGAACTGTCTCCGCGGTGCCAGCCCTTTCAGCTCGAGACTGAAGCAGCCAACCGTTTGAGGCCTTTTATCTTTTTGCTTTGCAGAGGCGATCGAATTGCACAAGGACGACTGGGCAGAAGTAGCGGAGCACGTCGGAGGCGGCCGGACCCCTCAGCAATGCGTCGAGCGCTTTATCAGGCTTCCAACTCAAGAGCCATTCTTAGACGCGAGCAAACAAGTAGTCAGGTATATCTACAACCCTATGTTGCACCCTCTCTAAGCAGAACAGGGCTGAATCGGGTGTGTATGCTTTTAGGCCCTTGCGAAGTAGCGGTTTGTGGTTTTCTGGTTATTCTTCTATTCGTTGCTTGTAGTTTGCGATTCAGCGGGACAGAGAAAACTCCATTTTCAAGCTTTTCGAACCCTTTGCTGTCCCTCCTTGCCCTCCTCTCTTCCGTGGTGCACCCGTCTGTTGCAGCGGCAGCAGCACATGCGGCGCTGCAGAAAGCAGTTGAGCTTTCTACGCCTGCAAACAGCTTGCAGCACCCAAAACAGGAGCAACCTGCAAGTGGCAATAGCAACACAGCTGGGGCTTCAGCAGCAGCAGCGGCTTCAGCTCCGGCAACATCGGCAGGGGGGGATGCTGCAGCGAATGCGGTAAAGCAGGAGCCCCGTAGTGCAGCAGCTGACGACAGTAGTAGCAGCAAGGAGTTGTTGATAGCCGAAGAGGCGTTGCAGGTCGCAGCGGCAACAGCTTTAGCAGCAGGAGCGGCAAGTGCAGCCGAGATGCTGCAAGTCGAGAAACAAAATGTGGGGGCCCTGCTGCAATCGCTGGTCGAACTTCAGATTCGCCGTGTTTCTTTGAAGCTGAAGAAACTCCATGCGCTTGAAGACGCAGTTACACGAAGCAAACAACAAGTGGTACTACCAACGCTTACAGTTTTCAATTGGGGCTACTGGTCTACGCGTTTTTGATGTGGATCCGGGTGTGGGGATTGTGGTCTAGAGCGTACGGCCTGCAGTTTGGAGTTTAGGGCCTGTTTATGTGTTTCAGGAAAATAAACTGTCGCAACTCTTTTCCGAGCACGCGGACTTGGCAGCGGAGCTAGAGGGCGCTAGGTGTCTTGGACCAGTTGGTGTGTTGCCTTAGCGTCCTGGGGCTCTGTGTTGCTACATGGTGCTGTTGCTTAGCCGACGCCGCGTCAGCGACTATTGGTGCTGCTGCGTCTGTTTCGCTGCTATCTCCTAAGTGTCGCCCTTGGCAATTAATAGTTGTGCGCCCACAATACGCGGTTTTGCTGTTTAATTCGGCGAATCTACTATGCTCGAGTACCCATTAAGGCCAACGGCAGTAGCAGCATTTACACCAGTAGCACGAACAGAGCAGCGACAATAGTATCAGACGGCGTCGCAGTAGCAAAATATGAGTGATTGACGCTTCGTTGCTCTAGGGGCTCTCGAAATACGTCTTAATTGGCCTTTGCGCTTCGGGCAGATCATTGTTTTACGCCGAGATTGCAGCCCATAGCATTAGTCAATGCAGACTGTTCTGCTTCTGCACTGGCTGCACTATGGATTTAGGGTAGTTCCCTGCGGGTCCATTGGGGACAACTCGAATCGCTTCTGCTTGACTTCTGACCCGTAATATACACGCTTGCTGTAAATAAGGCTTATTTATTTCGCCGACGCAGTCATGAAAGTTGGAGCCCTTGCAACGAAACAGCCAGAAATTCAGCGAGTAGAATTAGCAAAGAGAGGAATTAGTGTAGGGCTTGGGAAATGCTAGTACATGGAAGCGCAGGGGTCGGGAGGGTTGGCTAGAGGACCAGGCCGCAATGGGAGACGAGTAGAGGGTGGGCTGCTTGACCGGCTTCGGTATGCGATGTATATGCTCTTTTGCTGCAAAAATAGTTCAAAAGCAGGATTTCTAGTCGCATGGATTAATGAGGACAAAAATTACCGTCCGCCGAAGTACGGTGGCTGACTCCCCACTCCCATAGAGGAGCACTGAAATCACTCGAGAATCCCTACTTTCAATTTTATCTGTTGCCCACTTCAATCTCCATTTTGGATCGCTGAACTTTGGCTCATAAAGCATATTTCCATGTCTACCCACGAGGAGTAGGCAGGTGGACCTCGCGACACCGAGACTGCATTTCGCATAGCAGTATGCTCCTAGCCTTGTACCCCAAACCATCCTCGAACTTTTATGCTGATCACACTTGCTGGAGGCGCCTTGGTTGCTTACGCTATTGGCAAGGATCAGCGAAGGTCCCCAGCTGAAGCAGCCCCGGCAACGGCTGCAACGGAGCCGCAACAAACAGCAGCAGCTTCCAGGCGGGGAGTCGCAGAAGCAGCAGCAGACATCCGTGAAGGACGTCAAGAAGCTGCTCGGAATCTCGGGCTCACTCAGGAGCGCCTCCAGGGAGGCACCCGGGCAGCCTCATCGAGGGAACGAGCCCCACACAGTCAGTTGCAGCAATCACACCAGCGAAGGCGTAGCCTTCACTTGAATAGCCACCCTCGGAGGCACCTTGAGCCGTTGGGGCGCTCACTGCCGACTGCCTCTTCCATGCGTGCAGCACGCATATCAGCGGGCTGGCAGCAGGAGCAGTCCGAGCACCCAACAGAGGCTGACAGCGAGAGGCAGCAGCAATTCTGTGCATTCCTTTCCAGCGTGCTTCCCCGACAACGAATTCAGCAGGGGAAAGCGGCGAGCTACGGCGAAAGCACCAGCAGCAGCACAGAACGCTTGAGTGGTAGCAACAGGAAGCAGCGGAGACATCGTCAGCAGCAGCAGCACCAGCAGTCGCTAGTGCCTTCGCGAGGGAATAAGAGGCTGATCTGAGCACTTAAGACGGCTTTCTCACGAAGTCTTTGGTGCAGTGAGGGCAGGAGGGGGACAAAACTCGCATTTGTGCGGACTACTGCAGCAGTCGTTGACTCAAAGGCCCCTCCAGATGGTTTGGAGACCTCATGAGCCCGTAGCTTAATGCAGGGTTTTGTGGCCCATGCGATGAGGGAGAGGGGAAGCTGTGAAATCCTTAGTCGGAGTTTTTCTACCGGTATTTTCGGGGGGTGGAATCCCCGCCTGGTAGCATCTCGATGGGGCCTCTGGTGGCATTCTTCACGACGGAACCCCTCAGTATCCCACCGGCTAAAACTGCGTCTTCCCACGCTGCTGCTTGTGCTACTCGTGCTGATTTTTCCATGGCGTAGGTGTCCACGAGCTGCTCCATGGGCTAGAGCTTCCCATGAAAGTTCCCCCGCTGCTCAGGATGGCTGGAAGGGCGCGGAGGGAGGCCCCTGCGGGGCAGCAGCCGTAGACTTGGAAGACGCGCAAGCAGATGTGTTTGTGTTTGAGGATCCCTCTGAGTTCGCCTCCGAAGAGCACGAGCTGCAACAGAAGCGGCAGGAGCAACAGCGGAAATCGTTGTTGATGCAAAAACAGCAATGGGAGCAAGAGCAGCGACCCGGTTCGATTCATCTTTCTCTCTTCCCCTCAGGGTTGGAAGCCTCCCAGCGCGACACGCAAGGGTTGCTGCGAGGACGAGGAGCTCTACAGAAGGGAATACAGTCTCGCAACTCTGAAGGACAGCTGGAGGCCACAACCAGTAGCGACAGTAGCCTTAGTGGCGTGGCACATGGGCGGCTTGCTGATCATGCTGCAGCAGCTGCTACAGCAGCAGTTCATACTGTTGCGGCAGCACCCCCTACTGTTGGAAAATCGGTCGTGCCCACTAGCAGTGAGGCTTCTGAAAAGGCTTCTCACGGGCGCGGTCCCTCTGCTCTGTCAATACCAACTCGCGAACAGAACGAGAGGACTCAAGGCAGCTCTGAAGTCCAGGTAGTCCCTAACAATGCTCTCCAAAGCGATAATCTACAGAGGTCTTCGCTGCGTTTAATGCTGCCACCACTGCCTGTCTCCCGTTGGACGGGTGCTCCCGGGCTACGCCGCACTATCGAGGATGCCTATGACTCGTTGTGTATGTACACTGAAGCAGCCGCTCGATCTTATATGCCTGAAGTATCTGGAAGGTCGACGGGAGCATCACAGCTTTCTCCCCACTCTGCAGTCAGGCCCCTGTACACGGAGGCGCAGGCGAATGACGGCGAATGTAAGCTTGGGGGAGCTGGTGCTGCATGCACTAGCAGCAAGGTCGACAGTGCTAAAGATAGCCCTCAGATGGAGCAGGGACAAATGCTCAAGGATTCGCAGGTGCAGCGCGGCCCGTTATTGGTGGCAGATGCATGGCGACGCGTGGGGGCACGCTTCTTATTGGTTCTACCCGTTGTTTCGGTTGATGGATTTCTTGTCTCTTTCTCCGGGGTGAGAATCCCTGCTCTGGGGTCGCGGCCTACGGACTCCAGGAAGATTCCTTTTTCCACCTCATACCCTGGTAAGCTAAATGTTTCAGGCTTAAGGGCTGAAGGATCTCCAGTGTAGCGTCCATTAGAGTCGCATGTGTCAGCTAGTGAAAACATAAGGCTTCGGGGTTTAGGTTTTGAGAAAACACCTGATGGACGGGGCAGAACGATGCCAGATAGGAGAAAATTTCTGAATTCTAACAGAACCATGCATGCTGATATCAGTTTCCGGTCTCCTAGTGCATGCCTTTTTCCATCCTGTGGCGGTTTTAGAAACTGTTGCTGCTGCTATTGCTGCGCACGTCTTCGATGCGTTATATGGGCTCTGCAGGGATGGCTCATCTGTTGTTTTTGGTATCTCTGGGTCCCCACATAACTTCTCGAGACGGTGAACCGCTGCCGCGAATGCCGGCGAGGAGTCCTGCCAAGGAGGGAGGACTGGCTTCTTCCAGCATTGATCGAGAACGGCGAGAGGCTATGCAGCATGTGGCGCGGCTGTCTGCCTTGGTGGAGAAGGGTTCCAGTCTTTGGCCGGAACGCCCTCTTCTCCTTACGTCCAGGCCCTCTTCCCTCATTCTATTGAAGTCCCTATTTCGCTCAAGGGCCTTTACTGCTCAAATCAACGAGCTGCTTACCACGGCATCAAAAGAAGTGCGGCTAGGCTAAGAGGTTTTGCACCCCAACAGGCTGTGTGAATGTTGGAACTAGTGGGGCACCAAGAACCTTTTCTCAATGATGGCACTCTTTGGCAAGGGCGTATATCTCTGCTGTTGATTTCTTAGCTACACTTATTTCGCTTGTTCTACTGCGCATGTGCAGGTTCTGTCGTTCCGGTGCCTGCAATCGTCTCGCCAAGACTGCTGGGCACCAGGCCGTCGCTGGTCGTGGGGACGCCGCAACTCTCTGCCCTTCTTGTCGACTTTATTTGCTGATTCTAGAGCCAAGGAAAAAGTATGTATTTCGTGAAGCGGGGCTTATAGGGCTCCGGACTTCAGCAGCATCCTTTTGGAAGGGCATAAGTATGCACTGTAGCTGGACGTTGTGGCCAGCAATTTGTGGTGTACACGCTCCTGCTTTATAGTTGGGGGACCTTTGTGGGCTGTGCTCCGTGCTTAAGGGTATGTTATTTCTGTCACGAGTGGATAGTGGAGGATGCAAGGTTTATGGTTTGGGGTGAAGTGTATATTTGTTGTTGGTTTCTAGGCCGCCTGTGTGTACGCCGAGTTGCTGATTCGCATGCATCAAGGCAATCGGCGTTCTGCTTCCATCTCCCAACGGCTACGTGACGCCCTGCTTCCGGCTTTCCAGGTAGCAGTTGTAGGCGACACCACCACGCGTCTTTGGAATCAGGATCCTTTGACGGATTTCGAAGAGTCCCAGAAGGAACAATTGAATGACAGTCCGGCAAAAGAGAGCGAGGCAACCAGACAGTCTGGCTCAGTGGCATGGGGGTCGCAACATTCTAGTGTTGTGGGAGCTTCCGTGAGCAGCGCACCGCAAGCTCAATACAGCGAAAAGCCGCAGAGCATGACTAGCTTCATCATTTCCCGCCTAAGCCCACGCTTCGGGATACAAAGGAGGTCTCAGCTAAAGGGTTCTAGGATTCCTAGTTCTGTTAACACAGAAACAGCTTACAAATTCTACGTGGACCCCACATTAACAGAACCCATTGTTCTATTTGGTGACGACTCTGCCAGGTACGTACTATGACTGTGGTAGCTCGCGGTGGCTGCTAGGTGTACCGCTTTTCGTGGCGTTCCTTCTGCTGTTGCAAGGCTCCGCTTTACTTTACAATCTTCCCTTAGCTGTGTCGTTTGTTGTTAGGGCTGAATGATTTTGCTAGAGCGGTTAGTAGGCTGTGGATCGCAACTTTTCTGCAGCAGTCAGACGCCGCCCAAGGGTGAAAGGGTATGCGGCTTGTGGTTTGTAATTACCGTGTTTTCGTACAGCACGCTGGCGCTGCATCTCGGTCTGTCTCTGGTGGCCCCCCACAAAACGGCTGCGATGTACATCCACGTGGTGGGTGACGTGTGGACTCCCGGGACTGACCAGGAGAAGCCTGAGTACTATCTGGATGCCTTCAAGACAACTCGCTTCACGTAAGATATCACGCTTTTGTGGCTTCGGAGTTTTAGCAATCCACAACTCAAGTAGTCAGACCACCGAATGTGCAGTTTCCTGATAATAATTTTAGCCCAACGGGCTTGTTAAAGTATCTGTACGTTGGACTACATGCAGGACGGAAACGGGCGTGCAGGTGCCGGTGCATACATTGGAGTTCGACGTTGGGGTGAGCGGGACTATTGAGGACGTTCTGTCTCTCATGGCTTCTCTCACTAGCGCTGCCTCCCACGTTTCTTCTTCTCAGCTGCAGGCAGCAGCTGAGGAGGAGGGAGATGCTACTGGGGAGGCCCGCCGTGTGCGCACTGTTTCCATGAACGCTTTCAAGCCTCTTCTCCTGCTAGGCAAGGCCCTCAGCCACTTTATAGGGGCGCACCTAACAGTATACAGGACCTGCAGAGGAACCAGCGGAGTATCAGGGAGTAGTGAAGCACAGAGTGGAAGCGAAGGCACTCCTACGCATAGCCACGGCGGAAAGGACACGCAATCAAAGCAAAAAGCATTTCTTGATGAAGCCATGCAGCAAATCAGCGTAGACGGGGCCGTTGGATGCCACCTTCCCCTCATTTTTCTTAAGCCGCGCTTTGTAGTACACAAGACAAGCCCCCAGGAAGAAAAGGGAAGCGGTGCCGGGTCAAAGAAACTCCATGTAGAGGTCCTCCCCGTGCTACATGGCACAGGAAAAGACGAGGCCTCCGTCCGAAAGTACACAGGTCCGAGGGCCAGATTCTTCGCGCAGGAAGCAATGCAGCAACATGCAGCTAAATCTACTATTGCTGAAGGCTTTCCTGTTATTCTGTTCAGGTCGGTTCAGAAATTCGCAAGATTAGACATTAGCGTTTATGACTCGGTGGAATCACAGGAAGAGGCAGCTTATTAGTGTACATGTGTGTATATTTCTGCATGCATATCATTGTATACAATGTGCACTTTGACCTTGGTTGCGGCTGCTCTGTGTGTGGGCATCGAGGTTTCCCGCAATCTGAATACCTGTGTTGGCTCGCAGGACGCCTGTGCACGCCCTCACCCAATCATGGCTCGTTGGCTTAGTAGATCGGCCTGATGTCTTCCGGGGGGCCACTAAAGTAGGCAAATTATATCATGTTGCTGCTGCGAGTTCTGGTACTGCTGTTGCTGCCTCGTTGGGACTGCTGCTATTCACGCGGTTGCTTTAGTTGCAATTTCCATTAAAGCATAGCACCTGTTTTCGCTGTCGGTGTTGGTGCTGTTTTCGTAGCTACTGCCTTGGATATTGTTTTACCTAGTTCCACTTAGTGCGTGCTGTGGTGGTTTCTCAGAGTGTACAGGACATGCGGGCATTTCTGCCTATCTTCCACCCATCACGTTTGCCTTTATACAGGGATCTACACGTAGACTTCTTGCATATGCTAGCTGTGGTTGCGCGCCCTGAGGAGCTGCTTCCCCCCTCCACCCAGTCTGCTGCTCTTCTGTTGCACCTCACGCGCCTCAAAGAGGCCCCTGCGAGCGCTCCTGGAGGAGCAATAGGGCGGAGTGTACATGTAGATGCATCGGAATGCCAAAGGCGTCTTGTCCCCGTGCAGCTTGAGTCTTTCTCTTGGCAGATGGAGAGCTCCAAGGCTCCCCATCCTGGGTTGCCCCTGGAGTGTCTGCAGCGACAGCAGCAGAACCCCGAAGACGACGAGGAAGTGCTGAGTAGTAGCTGCGCTTGCAGCCGCCAAAAAACGGATTCCTATCATTGCTCCCATCTCCCTTTGGGTGCTACTGATCCACCTTGGAGTCTGGTGCGTGCAGTGGTCGGAGGTGTGCTGCAGCTTGCGTCTCATGACGTAATAGGCCATGTAGAGCAGGCAGCGAATGATTTAGGGGCCTTTTTCTGTTCGTCGCTACCATTTCTGCATTTTATGGAGTCTGCCAGTGCCACGGAGATCGCTGAATTCACTTTGGGACTTGCTATGAGGCTCCACAGCCTCAGAAAAGAGGTAATTGCTACGGCACTGAGCGCCAGACAAGCCAGGGGCCCAACTCGCCGGCGAGGTACTACGGCATCAGGAGGTGAGGCTCGAGGCACACGTCAGCCCCACCAGCGAGTGGATGGGTCACTAACACAGAATAACAGCATTTACACGGACAACAGATACAAAGCCAAGGCAACGGACAGGCGGTTTTTCGAGGGCGAGCCCTCTGCTACGTCGCAGGAGGACAGCCACACTGCGGGGAGGCAGCACCCCAGTACTACGGGGAATAACGAACGGAGCACAGAGACCCGAGGGCACGCACTAGAGATTCCTCGCTGGTACTCTACTCGCTGGGTATCCTCATTGAAAAGCAATTATATCAGGCGTGGAGGCCCCTCGAAGGCCCCCGGGAAGGGCGCCCTGGGGTCCCGAGCGGCTCTCGAAGTGGTGGACGTCCAGCTGCAGATGCAGCACCAATTGCTAGAAATTTCATCGGGCCTCGCAGTGGACATTGCATGTCATTATGAGAAGCGGGCACCAAGACCCTCCCCCGAAAAGTTTCTCCAGGTGCTGCCGGAGCTACAAAGGCAACTAGATCTTGAAAAGGATTGGGCCCAGAACCTAGCACGTCAAGCGCCCACTTCAGTAGACGACGACTCGCCATTTTCCTATTATCTCAGGGAGGTGGCGCGTCGCACCGCCGCCGGGGAGGTGTTGCAGTTCACGGCCAAGGAAACTGCGGACCTTGCACTATCCTTAATAAATGCTGCTGAGTGGATTCATTCGCTAAAGGAGGAGGGAAGAACCCCCAGGGCTGTCTTCACGGCCACGAACTTGGGAGGGCCCCAGTTCGCTGCAGGCCCCGGGGTATCGCCTGCTCTGCTTCACTATTATCAGCCGTCTGACTCTTGGGTGTGGCTCCTGAAGGGTTCACAAGAGGAACATGAAGTAGGTGAAAGCACAGAGACATTGCAGGACGCACGAAATGTTGCTCCCCAGAGATCCAGTGGCTACATGGAGGTACCGCTTTCCCTTCCTTCTGCTAGGAACGTAGCCCCTCCCCCCGTCAGCCAAACGTCATATGATTCACAGCGCAAAAGCGGTGCCAACAGTGGTGGCGGCAGTCTAGTGAGCAGCAAGCAAAAAGAGAGAGAGACAAGTCGCAAGAAAGGGCAGGAAGGTAGTGAGAAATCTGAAGGCTCAGGAGAATTCTCAGAGAGTTCAGCTCATTGGTGGGAGGCAGATGCAGCCTCTCTATTGAAGCGCTCAAGGGAGGCTCGCGGGCTGTCACCGTCACTCGTCCGCCACCTGCATGCGGCACTGCAGAGTGGACCAGATTGGGACTGCTTAGGCAACAGCTCAGTGGAGGGAAATGCTTTGTGGTTGTTTGTAATGGGGCATATATGCGCAAATTCTTTCTTATGCGAAGGTTTTAGGACTCTCCTCTTTGGTGAGGGTCTCGCGTTGCACGAAATGCTGCGTGTGGCAAAGCGAGGTGCCTCGGGTTCCGGCAAAGCTTTTACTCTCAACAGGTTGGACGCTATTCTGGAGGGAAGGCACCAGGGATTCGCACGAAGTGAGCGCAGAAAGTAGCAAGCAGCAAGATGAATAGAACGGGGTTTGAGAGAGGACGGAGGCTCAGGGCGGGAGGCGAGGAAATAAGGGAATAAGCTAAAGGGGATGAATGGTTGAGTTAGATTCTTTTGTGGCCGTCTCAGGATGCATTTGCAGCTGATTTTCGTTTTCGAGTTAGTTGAGTTCCTCTCTCCTGTTTGTTTTTCAGCTGCTATCTGTTCCTCATCTCTAAGTATATTTGTCTACTTGTCCTGCTTTGTGTGCGTGCATGTGCAGCGTATTATGCTAGGGAGCAGCTGGGGCGCCTCTGGCGTATTTTCTCCCCGAGGGTGTCTGCGCGATTCCCCCAGAGGCTATTTCTCTCTTGCACGGCAGAGTGGCAACTGGCGGTTGAGACACTTACTTGGATGCAAGAGCACCCCAACTGTTTCATGCGGCATGCCTTGCCTTAAATTCAATCCTAAAGAAGTACAGCTAAGATAGGCAGCTGTATACCTCAGTGGGTAGGCGGACACCCCAGCAGCCGGATGAGTACAACAGATATACATATGCCTCAGACGCTCAATCTAAATCCCACATTATTGTGAATATGCCTTGTTTCATGCTTTGTTGCTTAATTCGGAGGGCATCATATAGATGTAGCCCCCAAACAATCATGAAGGGTCTTGACTGTTTGCTCAGCCACACCTACACGGGCTCCTCAGGGAGCTTGTACTCACTGAAAACTCAGAAAGGAATTAAGTGACCCACGCTGGCTGAGTGTGCTGCATTCTGGGCCTATGCGTGTCAGCTCTCTCTGTTTATCTCTAATTCGTTGGGGCACTTGTGATCAGCTCATCCTGCATCATCCTTTAGGTATAGGTTCCCGATGCCCCCATTATGCGACATCTTGTTGGAGCCCCATGGATGGTTTGGTTCCTTTGTTTCAAAGCCATGGAACTTTGTATGCCAACTAAGTCTTTTAAGCTTGCCGGTTTCTAGTGGAAAGCTAGAGTTCCCCTGCTGCAGGTGTTAGCACGTGCAGAAATTCACACCAGGATAAGATCCCTATTGATAGGCAGGCCAGTGATAAACAGCCTCAGATTCAGGAAAAGTCGTGTAGAGGCTAGTGGCCGCTCGTCATACGCGGTAGTGTTGCCTTGCCCTGGTTATCTGCATGACTCTCTTCGTGTATTCTCTTCCCCTTCCCCCGCTTCGCATTCTTTGTCATCCCTTCTCTCTGTGCCCCTCTCTTCCTGTGAATCATTCTCTCAAGCTAGTTATGTAAAGTTTGCGTGGAAGAAAATTTGCGTAACCCGGCGTCGCCCTTCCCCCGTATGTTTCATCTGGCGTTAGAGTGGCTTTTGCTGGGTAATCACCGTGCATACCTTATGAACATGACTTTAACGGTGCTTTATAAATATTCCATCTACTATATAATATTGGTGAGCCCGGAGTTAGGAGCCATCTTTCCCCACCGGCGGCCTCCGCCCACTACCTTCAGTGTTAGCAAGTACCTCTGGCGGCAAGGCCCCTTGCTTGGTTCCACATTCCAAATTCTAGGAGTTGCTCTTTTTCTAGTAAGCCCAAGTTTGCCTTCTGACCAGCAAAGTGTTCTTTCCAGCAACTCCGAAAAGAGAGCTTTCTGTTGCTTGAGGAAACCACCTCCAGGTCCTACCTGGCTGCAGCCTAATCGAAATGACAGTCGATATAGGCTTCGAACGACAATATTCACGCATTTTGTCTTCAAACCACAAGTATGCTACAACAGTTTTCGGAGAAAAGAGGAGAAACACGATGAACGGTCCCTGTGCGTGCCGGGCATTGCTCATCGCCGTATACACCGCATCAGTCCCCACTGAGGCCAATATTCCAGATGGGAAAAGAATCTCGGCGGTATCACCGATCTACTTGTAGCATGTTGCTACAAGCCAAGTCCAAGGAACTTGTGTAGAGGAGTTGCTGGAGACAGTAAGAAGACAGCAACCGTGATCAGACCACCGGACTTCCCGGGGCTGGGCAGTCCTCTCATTTTCATCTGTGGCCCAACCCACAAACAGTTTGTATGTTGTTGCAAACATTCTCTCAGTATTCCTCATTCTTATGCCTCCTAATTAGGCTCCACAGGGCCTTGGGCCCCTTCCTTGAGGACAGAGATTCGATAAAGGTCACTTACTGGTTTGTGTTTGCTTGAAGCGGATACTGAGGTCCTTTTGTCCATCTTTGCTAGAATTTCGGCACAAAACATTACATTTAACGGGAATATGCTATGCTCTTTGCCTTCTAAACTTTAGCTAGAGTCGATAGGCTCTAGGTGATTAACAGCCAGCAGCTACCCCGACAAGGCCTTTATCACTTGCGCTTGTTCAAGCCTGCTTTGAAAATTGGGTCCTTTTCGGAGACTACATAGGTGTATAGCCAGCCGAAGGTCTTGTGAATTGCACTGTATTTCCCAGACAATACAGCGTGAGCAATTTCCTTGCGTAACAGGGGGAATTTTCCTTCTCCGGTGAGGGGACCTCGATTCACCGCACCCACAGATCCCCGCAAATTTCAATCAGCAGGGTTTTGATGCGCCTCTGCACCTTGAATTGTGCAAATAATGGCTCTCAGCTAAGAGAAACTTTTTCGTGATGTGTATTTGCTCCATATTACAGGTCTTCTCAAGCCATACCCGTCATGCTCCCAGTGTAGTGAGGCTCATGCTACGAGTGATGATGTAGCGAGGCATGCTAAAGGCGATGGAAAATTTCTGTTTTATACCTCCTGCCATAGCATCCCCCAGGGAAACCCGAGACGACAAAGTCAGCCGCGCTGATGAGGACCCCTCCGACCCAAGTGAAGGCAGGAACATGCAAAAGGGTAGCAGGGGCAGTCTAGTGTGTAAAATGATTTGGATTGTCACATCTGAGAGATATCATCACCGCAACAGGCAATACCAGAATTTATTGAGAATGTCTTTCTTCAGCCTCATGCCCCTAAGGAGAAGGTGGAACTGCTAGCTACGGCTGAAATTCCTTTGCATGATGGGGCGCGAGAAGGGTATGCTGAGAGTTCAGAGGATGAACAAGCCAAGCCATTAGGATTCTGGAGCCGATGCCTCCATTCTTGTGTTGGCAGAGGGGAGAGAAGCAGAAACGGATGCAGAATGTTCCGCTGGAAGGCCTCGAAGGTTCGCTGTGACCCAATCTTTGCATTACGACCAATTATCATACAAGCCACTAGTGCAACTTTGACCGACACCTTATGATGTCTGCAAGAACCCCCAGAACTATAGCGGGTGAAGAAGCACCTATGAAGTACAGAACGATCGACACAGAAAATACGTCTTTTGTGCTGCTTTCTGCTTCAGAGGAATGCTGACCCGCAGAAAATTAACCCCCCTACAAACCTCATTCCCTTTCTACCACCTCAGCTCTTCAAAGATAGGGTGAGCCCCAGCAGGAAGCAGATCTGCAGGCAGAGTTAGGAGCAAAGTTACTGTAGTGGGCTAGGGCTCATTTACTAGGCAGTGGTGCGATCAAATAGGGAAAATTAGAGCAGCAATTTTCTGTGATTGTTTGATTGCTTTCGCGGACGAATCAAAGCATCCTTAGGCCCATAGGCAACACGTCGGCAAACGCTTTTGTGTTTTGAGGGTTTAAGGATGTCGGGCAGTGTCTGCTTTTATAGCCATATGCGCTAGTTGTCACACTTTGTGGTCCTATGCCTCCCAGCCTTTGTAGCTATACTGTTGTCTGCAGCGGCGTTGATAATCATAGCTAGTTTCCTACTGCGATATTGGTTTGGTGTCTTTCGCTTTGCGTATTAGGGGAAAAAGACTCTAGTAGTAGACCTAGATGAGACTCTCGTACGCAGCACTTTCAAACGACCCTCCAGGTACACCTTTGTGGTTAAGGTAAGCCGTATGCATCGCTATTACTCACCATCTCTGCCAATCGCTGTAACATTTCTTCTCCCTGTGCTCCTCTCTCTGGTGCGCTTACCTACCCAAGTCTATACGGGTCGCATTCCCAGCTGCGGCAGTGGTACCACCCTTATGCCAATGCGCGGCCTGTAGGATCCTCACGGCCGCTACCCTCAGGCTCTTACACATACCCAATAGAGACGCGCAATGGTTTCTCTGCAGGGCCAGTCTGTTGCTGCAGGTTACTGTTGATGAAAAGGCTCGCAATGTTTACATTAGCCAGCGCCCAGGTCTGTACTATACCTGCATTTTTCGCCCTTTCCTTGCTATTCTAGGTGCACCATACATATATCCTACCTCATACCTCTCAGAAAACTCCACAGTGCTAGAAAGGCGATGAATTCACAGATTTTGCTATTAACGGCCACCAAAAGGATGCATGGGTATTTATGGAGTGTTTCTCTATTACGAGTTGCTTGTAGCGCTGATCTGAAGACCCATTATGAGGTGGTCTAAATATTTGCTAGCATTTTTCTATGGGCCTAACTCAGGGCTTGCCCTCTTTCTAGACGAAGTATCGAAGTGGTTTGAACTAGTCATCTTCACAGCATCTGTTGGCATGGTACGCCACCCATCTCGTGTCACCTTTCACATGAACGTTTACACACAGCCCAAAAGAGGATTGTCAATGGCTGGAAAACATATATCCGTTCCTGCGTGCACCTCTGGACGGGCTTAAACTAGGTAGGGGCCACCAGTAGCTCATGAAATACCCCAAGCACACCGTTGTTGCTTGACTGTTCCTGCATGTGAGCTGCAGTACGCGGATCTGGTTGTCGACAAAATAGACCCCAAGAATCGCTTCACTTGGAGGCTGTATAGAGAATACTGCACGTATTTGTAAGCTATGATATTTCCAAACGCTTATCTGTGGCATTATTTTGCTCTCCTGTGCTCATTTGTGTACCATACTAATGCCCTGCTTTCCACCCCCCGTAGCTCCTTGCTGCATATCTGCTATAACCAGCTGCACCAAAGGACTGGCTTTTGATTGACTACTTGTTCAGTAAGCTTTGTGGGTTTTGAAGTCTTGTTTTGCGTTAATTTGCATGACTCCGTTTCTTTCCCCTTATTTTTGGTTTGTTTCGGTTAATCTATGGGTGTGTTTGTTGAGGAACGGCACTTACGTAAAGGATTTGTCTCTTCTGGGCCGAGACCTTTGCAATGTGATCATCGTGGACAACTCCACGCAAGCGTACTTGTGGCACGCTGAAAATGCTATTCCCATCACGAGCTGGTACGCAAACCGCATACACGCCGACGCAAAAACTGCATAGCACAAGGAAGGGCAGTATAAAGCATTATAAAGCAATGTAAACATTAGTGCTCTTCTGATGTATATACTACATAGTATCAAATGCACGACGGTATGAATATGTATGTGCTTGTAAGCGCGCAAATGCGTGTAACATCTGTGCTGGACTGTCTGCTTGTAGTGTGTCTAGACACGTGCACGTGTATTCAAGCCACCCAGATTTGGGGAAAATCATAGCTTGGTGACCAAATTGCCTGTGCATATTCGTGTAAGTGCTTTAACTGCTGCTTCTCACCGCAAATGAATCTATGCATCTGCTAAGAGTGGCTATCTTGTTTTGTGTATATACTATACTGGCATGTACACTTATTTGTGTGTCAAACGGGTAATTAGTAAGGATATCTTTGCGCACAAAAAAGAGGGACACAGGGAAAGAGGCCCACAGCGAGAAAGGAAAACATGGGAGGGGAAAGGCACCTGCAATTGCAGAGGAAAACGTTTGCTTAAATGCTTCTTCCACAGTTATTACGCTTACATTCCCCGACGACCATCGGTGTTGCTGTGAATGTTGGGCTATTGACACCAGGATCGATGATCCTCACGATACAGAGCTTATCGATATAATACCCATATTGTCCTCCCTTGCAATGGTGAGTGATGACACACACGCCGCATTAAACACTGTACAGCAAGCCGTACACCAAAAACCGCAACTAGTATCACGGTGAACAGCTGAAATTAGTGCATGTTGAACAATTCTTTGCAGCAGAGATAAATTCACCTCTGGAAGTATGGCGTGCAGTGTCCTCTGCAAGCCAACGTACTCAAATCCTAAAGTGTATTCACGAGGTCTTGATGGCCCAATCAAAGCTTCTTGCGTTTTCATGCAACTTAGGTCAAGGATATAAGGCCTGTTATCCGCGACGCTCTGCTTAATTTGGGTTAGCAACCGTCACGGCAAATATCCCAGGCTTCTTGGTGCTACAAAAGGCAGTGTCCATCGCTTCGGGGTATAGTTGTGTGGAAGCAAGGAGTCATATGCTAATATGCTGGCGCAGTGCACCGTGGCGGAGGTCGAAGGCATATTTTCTTTCACTTTTGTGGTCTCTCTGGGTTCGTTTCTTCTGTTAGCGTATTTTTGTCAAATGTTTATGTTTGCCATGAGACGTGATATCCATGCGTAATTATGCATGTACTTTAACGCCGCTGTGGATACCTTCTGATTTGCATCCCCGCCGTATCGAGCTGTTGGTCATCACAACAGGGCGATAGCGGCATTGCATAACATAAAGGAACAGTGCTTGCCCCCACCTTGTGAAGCCCACCTGCTCTGTGGGATCTCTAGGGTCGGCCCTTTAGTGATGCCTCTGATTGCCCCTAGTAACCAAGCAAACAAAGAACGGAAGAACACAAAAACACCACTGCCTCTGCGTGAGATCTGAGGTATGTAATGCATTAGCCTGGGGGGCCTGTTTGCACTACCGATGTACTGCTTGATCTTTGACTTTTCCACAGCCCTTGCTTTCAGCTTTCACGACAGGCCCACGACTCAATAGCTGGGTATTGAAGTAATGCAGACTCACTGCAGGTTCACCACAATTTGTGCTCCCAGGCCACTGCTTTGGCTTTTAAAGCAACTGATATGGTAAGCACATTTCCCGTTTTAGGGATCTAGCTGCTAGCAAGGACAGGAGTGCTTCTAGCTTTCTATAGAACCCATATGCAGCCGGTAGCTCAGACCCTGGACTGCTGAGTGTTTGATAGTTAGGGGCCTCATCTTTATTGGGCCTGACAAATCGAAAAAAGGGGGCGCAGTCCCCGAGACTACTTATAGCCGTATCTTTTTTTAGCACTAATAATAGAAGATTGAAGGATCATGTGGGGCCACACTTCTATGCCGTTCAATCATTTGCGATCCATGTTATGAGGCCCTAACAAACCATCCTGCCATCCCAACCTCGCTGAACGTCTTTTAGTGCAGTGTGTAGGATACGACTGCTATATAATAGCACCTTTTCCCCTTAAAGTGAGATGGTGAGTGCGAGGTTGATGTACAGTCCTATCATTGATGATACACCGCGAAAAAAGCAAACTTGAGACGGGAATACCTGCTTTTCGCTGCCCACGAGCTATCCAGTTTACTACGAAATAAAGAATGCTGATAACAGGAGCCCATACAGAAAGCACCTTAGAGAAGTACCCTGATAAAAGACGCTTCCAGCCTTGCCGACCAGGCAATTGCAGCTGCCCTTGAGTAGCGCAAACACCCCAGAAAACCAGGCTTTGGCCCCAAAGGGTTTCACAGCAGTAGGGAGGCCTATGGGCAGTAGACCTGTAATCTTTTGTCGCACCATACTTTCCAAATATTCAATAACGGATGGAATAAGGAAATGAAAATCATCATCATAGGCTTTTGCTAAGGATTCCTTCGTATAGCATGAACATTATCCCATTCTGCAAGCAGGCACGCTGCGTGTGCACCCAATAACCCCCAAAAAGAGAGGAAAATCCCTCCTCTCGGACCATTCGCTGCAGGCACAAGAGTTGTACACATGCATCCACATCTCGTGATTAACCGTAGCGCGCAATTGTGCCTGCTCCAATACAACTCCAGGGAGAACAACAAAAGAGAATACTGCAAAAAATGTCACGACTGATGCTGCTACAACACCAGATGTACACGGCATCTGCAGTGAAGCGGAAACTGCAGTGGCTGGTGCAAGGCACGTGCACCGACATCAGCATCGGCGGAACATGGGCGTAGCAGCTTAAGAAGACGAGAATGGAGCAAAGGGTAAGCTCTGCCATTGGTACTTGAGCTCACAGTAGCAACCTGAATAAAGTTTAGGTCACGGTAAGGCGCATTATGCACTTGTTGTCTGCTGCGAAGGACCTGAAAGACAACATACAATTCCCTGTTGATTCTGATAAGTCCAAAGGTTTTAATGCAGTAGGGAGTGTCTATTCTCCGTGTGCTGATCAGTAGAAGGGGTCCACAATCTACCGTGCCTTAACGCTCTTCGATGATTTCCCGAAACACTCGCCTGCAATGGGTATGTGAGACTAAGGGCAATAAACTTGGAGACGGCACCCCATATAGCAGGTAGCCCCGCAGTTACAACAGAGGAGGAGTGTGAAACACTGAAAATAACATGGCACACATTCCGGTTTTCCGTCTAGATAGAGTCTCTGAGGGGATCAAGACTGAAAATATGTGCGCAAGTGATATTGTCATTGTTCTTGTTCGCTGCTATGTGCTACTAACAACAGGAGACGGCACTTACTGGTTCCTCTTTAGCCGTTCATAGGCTGCGATTTGAATTGCTGCATGCGGCGCAAGGGCTAGTGCTGGGCCAATGCCTCTGTAGCATTCACTTATGCCGCCGCGGGCGGCGCTCAAAATACATCGAAAGCCATTGCGGAAGCGTGGCCAGCCAGCAACCTGGGGATAGGAGGAAAAGCCATATGCAGCAGATAGGAACAACCTGGACCGAGTAACGGACTAAAAGGCGGATTGCTACGAACAACTGCTGAGCACATGAGGTAGAAGGCTACACTATTATCATTAGATCTGTGAAAAATATTCACGTAGATGCTTCCAGGTACTCGCGGGCACAAAGTGACTTTCCTTCCCCACAGAAGCTCCTGCACTCAGTATTCCGCGCTGTTCACCCGCGGCGAGACCCCACCGCAGTGCCTCAGCGAAACGGTCTAACAATAGATAATGGCTTAGTGCCGATTAAATGCTGCCATTTAAAATTTCTCGCAAGCGTGCTGTAGGTAATGCTATCAGGAAACACGCCTTCAATAACAGGGCGTCCTACCTCAGTTTCTTTGGCTTGCATCTCCATTCGCGCCTTTGCAAGCCACAAGGGATGCGTCAGACCGGTCACTACGATGCCCGCTAAAAGACCGCTAGCCTGCAATTAGGCGTAAAGAAATGGAAAGCGATTAACTGAAAAGCCGCGTATGGCCAAGGGTGAATCCTTATGTTTATCGGAAACCAATCACTATCAACTGCACTAGCAGGTAATTTCTACATAAAGCACTGGAGGTGAACTTAGTTGCTGTGTCTCCAAAATCAAAGCAAAATTATCCTAAATGATCCCACATACGGTGTTGTGCGTAGGGTGCTTAGACGTTTGCTGTGGCTGCGTACCACATCGTCGACAGATGTCCTTTCTGCCACTTCTGTTGACTGGTGCGAATGTCCGAAAAGAGCCACGCGCCACTTTGGAAAGCTGGCGCTGAAGTTATCAAAACTGCGTAACACATCAAAGAGAAAACATGTCTAGTTTGAAGCCCTGTATCATTCAACTTGTTTTATATGTACTCTGTCATTAAAACGCTGGTTCGGATTCCCGCGCGAAGGGGAAAATTTCAAGCTAATAGTACTGGTTAACCATCACACACATGCGCCGTCACAACAAATAACGAAAAAAAGATGTATTAAAGCAAACGGCAGCTACCTTAAAATAAACTGGAAGCGTAGAAACGGGAAGCAAAAATTGCAAATCGAGGGCAGGCGCGCTAGAGCTTACATATATCTGAAGCAAGCCCAAGAGGTAGAAGAGGCTGTTGCTGTAACGCCTACCCCCTTCCACAAGCCTCTCAGACCTTCCTGTTTGAAGATCCTAGTGATTGCCGAACGAGTAGAGCTGTACCGTGGGATCGCACCACCAGTGACAGCCGCAACTGACCAGGCCAGGGAGATATTGAGAAAGAGACACAGAGCCGCAAGAACGGCATAAAAATGGATTTTCTTGAAGCATGAATACCAAACCATCATAAACCAAGTTGCACGTCTAAGCGGGTTTCTCTATGTGAGCCTGCATCTTTAGACTAAGCTGTGTATTCACGTTCCCTGTTGTGGACGGATTTAAAGTGCCCGAGAAAAACACACATGGTGACCCTCGTAATTAAGCTTTACTTCGCTTCCGTAAAATCAAAACAAAAGCATGAAGAGCATGCATCATGACACAAGTTCAACACCGTCTTGCCAGTGCATCTGCAGCGTGGCAACAACTGGGCACAGATCGCAGAATACGGTACGCCAAGATGGTCTGAGACGCTCCACCTTCTTTGCTCTTTCTATTCTACCGGACCTTTTGCTATATAGCTTCTCCTCTAAGTGTGCCTCTGCCTCACCTTGCATGCGAGTCTTGACAAGATCAAACGGGTGCAGAGCGCAGCATGTCAAAAGAGCCGCTGTCCCGGATGCCCCAGCAGCCCAACCCGGACACGCGCCCACGTTTGGATTTCCTGTGAAGGCTGGAGTTGACACTTGATGAATACGAGCTGCTGGTCCTGTTTGCTCTTGGCAAGAAGTTGCAACTCTCGGCACCGACGCATGTACTGCGGAGATGTCCAAGGTGCATATTGCAGAGGGCCCCGTACTTCGTAGACGTTCGATCAGATCAGGCCCTCTGCCTCTGCTGACCGATAATTCTGCTAGAGATGGCGTTTCCATTGCGGCAGGCAGACTTTAGCATTCCATCGCATGGCCATTGAGTTCAGCGCACCGCTGAGAATGTCTCATGCAATTGGGCATTTACTGTGAATTGAAATGCATTTGAGGGGAGATTTACACACTATGCTACTTCATGAAGTGCACTTATATGGCCGCAGTACGATACTCTGAGCCGTCGACTCGTGCTTCGTGCAGCGGCAAACCCGAGTGTGAGGACTGAATACCAAACATAAAAGGTCATTGCAGTACTTCTTCGTTGAAAGCCCCATTTTCTCAGGAAGCTAGTCAAGTTAATTCATTTTAAGCGTTGCGTAGCTGTTGGTGCCGAAGGCCCCGGAAGTCAGTGGCTGTGGGGCCCATGAGTGAACTCCACGGCCAACTTGCTTGAAAGCGATAGGGGGATATTTGACCACGGAGCTTATTTCTTGTAGCCAAAGGACTGCCATAGTCTGTTCGAGCTCTATTCTTTCACCTTTCTCTTCCTGACCATTCCAGGCTACGTTTTGTTCACACGGGACTAATATACATCGTTTTGCCAGTTACCTGCGGTGTGGTCTCCTAGCCCGAATAAATATCCTAAAGACCGTTTTAAAGTCATATTCTGTGCTCCCCAGTGTGAGTATGACATGAGATTTTAGGTGCCTCAATATGCAGGCTTCCCACACAAGTGAGAGCAGGGGGTCATCCGGACGCTCGGATAGAAATACAGGCGTTTCACAGCCCCTTTCCAAGTCCTTTGGGTTTCATTGTCCTTGCTCCTCTATGGATGTCAGGAAACTTTCTTTTAGTGTCATTACCCACTAGGTCCGCCTGGTCTGTCGCCTGAAGAGGGCTACGCTGCATTTCGGCAGTTCGTACTACACTGGTTGTACCTAGCAGAGACCAAAGCAAGGAATGACTGTTTGAGTTGTCTGATTATATGACCTATTTATTCCAGAGGAGTGTTAGCTCGATGCAAGAGGGCGTAGTGTTGCTTTCTTAGAGCGTTAGATGCAGTCTGCAATTAGCTGTGAATGCTCACAGTGATTAAAGCGCTCAGCAACACGCACTCTAGCTGTCCCTATCCTCCCAAGTCGAGAGGTTTTGTGGGATGCGAGCAGGAAGAGGAGGAGGCTATTTTGACAAACACACAGTAGCTTTGTATCAAACTTTTATTGGCACGAGTTAAGTGTCACCGAAGGGAGTCGTCAGATGGAGCGCTACAACCTCATCGGCTCGAGGGCACGTTGTCATCGTAGCACCGAAAGGTGTTCCTCCAGCTCCATAAAGCAGAAGACAGGTAAGATGTGTTTAGGGAATGAAAATGTAAACCTGTTGAGTATTGCTTGCGTGCTTCATGGAGAAGGAATAAAAATGTAAACCTGTTCAGTAGTGCTTGCGTGCTCCATGGAGAAGTTTCCATGCTAGGGCGGCCGGTCCATGCACCGTAACGAGCTTCGAAGCCCCTAAGCAGGCAATAGGACGAATGTAGGGACAGCATATCTGGAAGTGCCTGAGCATACATCTGAGTGTAGAAAACATCTGATTGAAAGTACCAATAAATCCCCATGGATGGAGCTAGGTACATAGGGCAACGTATGTGCTGGAGAAGGGCAATTGCCAAGGACCACAAAGGTTACCGTCCGGGGCAACTAGCACTTTAATCGGACATAGCCAAAAAGCCTTCCGCAGGCAAAAGAATTGATTCGCAATCACCTTCGCCCAAAAAACATTAACCTGTGCTTGGCGCAAAATGGAACTGAGGGGCGAATTTAGAATTTACAGAATACCCTCGCGGTTCTAACAACTACCAGTCATTTTAGAGTAATACTGCTTCACAATTTGCGCCTTTCTGCATGTTGACAAAAAGATGCAGACTCCTGTAACTTCGATTGAATCCGTGATTTTTCTGAGACAAGAGTGGTTGCGCTGTGCAGTACAGAATCGCTGGGGCGTTGCAAGAGCGCGTAGTCGGCAGTGGTCTTGCCCGCCACATACTTCACCGTAAAGCTGTTCTGCATGAAGCACCCACGCCACAGAGCAGCTCCAATATCAGCAAAGTCCTACGCACTTGTTGCAAGGTACTTTAAATGCCGGAGTTCTGTCTATGCGGTAGAATGACGTCCACGCAAGTCTTGCTGTTAGTTTTCCCGTGCCCCACTGCACAGCCTAGAGTTCCTTTACAGCAATGAGTACCGTTGCCCGGTGTCACTTGAGCGATATGCATACGAAGCAATAATTTGATCTTTTAAAGAATCCGCGACCTGTTGGAAGAGTTTAGTGTTAACTGATGAAATGTGCATCGGTATTAGAAAGAAAAACTGCTCATTATCAGGCAGCGCATGCACTGGTGGAGTTGAAAAACGACTGATAAGCGTCGTTGCTGCGGCATCCTCTTCGTCTGTCCAGGCTACACACTTGTCTCCCTTACACAGATAAATCAAAGGTGCACCAGTCCAAGCAAGTCTAGAGGTGGGGCATCTGTATTAAGATGGAAACCCGCAAAACTTCGCAGTGTCGCGAAGGTCACTCCTTGATTCATTCAAGTTTTGTTTGATCTGGCCTTATTCCTGCAGTCAAAATGCAGAAACGTACGTGCACAATTGCTTGCATAACAACGAGCACTTGCCTTCCTTCATGTACCACCTCTTGCCCCGTAAAAGCTGCAATGCAAACGGCAGGTGTTGTTGGTACCACTATACGTTTCCATTAAATAGCCAAATGTCGTCAACGAGACAGCTATCCACTCCACTTCGACATGTGCATGAGAATCCCAATTAACGTGCAGCTACAGTGTGTCTAGGAATTGCAAAGTCCAACAATAATAACAAGTAGACGCATGTTTGAGCCTGCGTGTCGCCGTTTTGTGCCACTTATCACGATGAATGGGGATTTCGGAAAGGCCTCTCTAGAATCAATTGTAGTGCAGATTAGTCATTCGCGTAAGTTAATGTAGCACTTCAAACGTTATGCACAAGGAACTCCTGCTTGACACTAGTCTTATTCAGGGGCCTGAGGTGCTTGAAGTTCATGCGGATGTCCCACCCTCCGACCTTTTTCGGCACCAACACCTAGTTTTGCCCAAACGTGCAGGTTGATTCCTACACTGAGCATATGTAACTAAAACCTCCTCCAGTCGCTCAATTTTCTCTCCATGCTGTAGGAGCCTTCAATACAACGGAACACAGCATGGGGCTGACCCGATCTCAATGCGATGCGCTGAACGGCCAATAGGTAGCCAGCTTGATGGCGATTTGTCGTTGTTTGGCGGATCTACGATTACCTTCTTGATATGTGCCCATTCCTGTAGCTCCTCGGCTACATGTGCAATCGAAATTTCTTATGCAAACAGGTGCAGAGCCACGAAAAGTGAAAGCCTGCTCAATAGCTTTCTATCATCCACTGTTCAGTCCGCTACCTGATGACTTTGTCTCACCTTGGTGAGGCACTGGATACACTTTGCTGATCAAATATGAAATAAGCGTTGCTGAGGAGAGCACAAGTGCTTGCACTTAGGGCTTCCTTGCACACTACACAGCGCGCACCGGTGACCACACACACGCCTTCCACTAAGTAACCCAAAGCATGCCTAGCACCATGCCATAGGGCACGCGTCCAGCGTAGAGATTGGAGACCATGCTGGTAGTACGCAATGCGGCCTAAAGTGCCTTTCACTGCCGCAGCCTTGTCTACCATTGTATTCCACTGCCCGCCAACAAGCTTGGACCTTAAGGAATACACTAACGAGTCAACAGGTAGATTGCGCTTCTGCGCGGTCTTGTCAGATAAAAGACTCACTCTGCATCAAGTGGCAAGTAGTACTGGCTATTCTCGACCATTTGTATGAGCCGGTTTCGGCACAGGATTGGCTCGCGGTGGGTCGTCGGACTGCGCCTTCATACTTTGTAGCCCCTTGCACTGTGCCGCAACCTGCTCGGGACTTCGCCTTCATCAATATGCCGCAAGGCGCAATCGTCCTCGTTTTGGAAGAGTACGCAGCGCGGTACATTTCCAACCATCTGGTGTAGTCTTCGACCATTTTTCCTCCCAAGGCTGCCCTTTTTTTCTCGGCAGCATGACCTCAGTGACGGATCCAGGAAAGTGTAATCGGCTGAAAACTATGCTTTGCTACCCGATGCACGGCTACAGTGCTCACATGAGTTTAGAAGAGGGCCAGTGCCCACCCAGCAGGCGCTGTGCCACCGTCAACTTCTGTCAGCGAAGGATTGTCCTCCCAGATTATTGCTGACAAAAATCTTATCAAGAAAAGCAAACGGATTGTTTCAGACAAGACAAATGTTGTCGACAAGCCTGACATTTCACTTCGTCCAGAGTCAGTAGATGAACGCGGAGGAGCTGCATCGGACGATGCTGCGCTACCAAGTGTAACGCTTCACCTGACCTCTCCTTGGGAAGGCACTTGAATTCAGTGTCAATACAAACCTACCTGAAAGCAGCTAAGGGTATTCAAGACCGTATTCTTGCCGTCGAGTCTAGTTGTTCCTGACATGGCGGTAGAGGGAGAGCGAGGGTGCGCGCGGCTTCACCCACCAAGTACTCCGAGCATCACAGCTAGTTGCATATAGCGTCTAGCGCACACTCGCACATTGCATCGTCTTGTACTGAGCCGAGCGTACTGCGAGATAAACAAGATGTACTTGCAAACAAACCACATAAGGAACTATGCAAATTCTTCTAAGTTAACTCCTGTGGTTGAAAGCGTGCATGTGTAGATATGCCCGCTACACCGTTGCGGTAGCGTTCGAGCCCAGGGGGACATTTGAACCGAACAGAAAAAACCGATGCTTTCAATGAAACCAGACAAACTGTAGGTACTAGGGAGTCACGAGGCCTTGTGTCCGCAGTACAGCCGCCTATCGACCATCGTCCCCAATGCATCATTTGGCTGGAAAACCATGTGAATTAATCGATTTATAATCCAGTAGGACTGCATACATACACAGCAGCAGGCGTGGAGTGCATGTCCAGGAAAAGAAAAGAGCTAAGAAAAGAGGCTACAGAGGTGAAGGTGTGAAGGCACCTTCGCACGTTCACGAGGCCGGCAACAAGCAGCACCATACAGTGCATGACTGAGGTGGTCTTGGAGTAACAAGTAACCGGGGTCCATACACAGACGCGAGTGGGATGAAGACACACCGAAAGGCATAAGAAGAAGAAATTGGATTCCCAGGCATACACATTTAGGAAACTCAGCAACTATAGCACAAACCTACATAGGTTGAGAAGCCAGGAAGAACAGGAGTAGAATAAAACAGATATGAATGGTGATAAAAGAGGGCGGGATGCAGAGAGATGATGCAAACATAGATGGGGGTGTTCGGCTAGACAATATATTCTACAGGCAGATTCAGTGACAGGGCCAGAGTAAAGGCCGAGAATAGAAGCTAAAAGTTTATTTGAAGTAGAGCATAAACACTAATCTGGGAATTGAAAGAGGAGGCGGACAGGCAGCTTCGTGTAAGCAGTGGGCAAGCAGGGAGCAGTAACGTAGGCAGAAATGAGGAAGGCGATAAAGGACACGAGCATCTCAGCTTTCGTGGTGAAATGGGTGACGCAAGAGATACGCAGAGGAGGTGTAGGGGAGCAAACCAGACAGTT